CACAAGGGTTTAACCCACTGCGCCACCGGGGGCGCAGGTTGTTCCCACAAAGCACTGCTACCTGTTTTGCCCACTGCTAATGCCAAAACTGCATTAATTTCACACAGGCACTAAGGCAGCCTTTGGCTTTGTTTCCTTGCCTTGCATCGAATATGAAACTGACTTTGGGGGCCTTCCAAAATTTACAAAATGAAAACGTATGGGGTAAGTTTCAATTCTAAAATATTTGGTGTGGGCCACGCAAATCCTTCGGATATGATACATGTGTTTATATACCTAAACCTCAATGAAAACAAGATTAAAACAGTCTCCTAAATCCCAAACCCAAACATGAAACAATAACCAATTAAAACACTATAAACAAAAACCCATTAAAGCGGCAACTTAACAAACGGACTCTGGACTCTCCAATCCAAACTGTAATAGAACAAGTAAAAATGTGAGATAGATATATACATATTTTATCATATATATATATTTATATTTATATACACACACACACACACACACACACACATATATATATATATATATATATATATATATATATATATATATATACTAGCTGTACCCGCCACGCGTTGCTGTGGCCAACCTTCCCCCTATCTCCCCTTCTTTCCCTCCTTCCTTCACTCCCTGTATCCTTCCTTCCTTCCCGTCTTTCCTTCTCTCCTTCCTTCCTTCTCTATCGCTTTCCGTCCTTCCCCCTTTTTCTTTCTCTTCTGCTGTGTCTCTTTTCTTCCTTCTCTCTTTCCTCCTTTCCTTCCCTCCCTCTTTCTCTATATTTTATCCCCTTCCTTCGCTCCCTCTTTCCTTCCTTCTTCCTTTTTCTCTTCTGCAGTCTCTCTTTTCTTCCTTCTCTCCTTTTCTTTCCCTCCCTCTTTCTCTCCTTTCTTCCTTTTCTACCTCATTCCTTCCTTCTTTCTTTCCCTCCCTCTTTCTCTCCTTTCTTCCTTTTCTACCTCCTTCCTTCCTTCCTTCTTTCTTTCCCTCCCTCTTTCTCTCCTGTCAGGGGTGATTTGAATGCAATATTCCTGCTTCTTGGCAGAATGGGGTTGGACTGGATGGCCCATGAGGTCTCTTCCAACTCTTTGATTCTATGATTCTATGCTTCTTCCTTGACAGATTAGAAGGGGGCGTGGCTTGGAGGTAACGTGAGAAGGGTAGAGGGAGGGGGGGAGGGGGGATGGGTTTAGAAGGGGGCGTGGCTTGGAGGTAACGTGAGGAGGGAGGAGGGGAGGGGGGATGGGTTTAGAAGGGGGCGTGGCTTGGGGGTAACGTGAGGGGAGGAGGGGAGGGGGGATGGGTTTAGAAGGGGGCGTGGCTTGGGGTAAGGTGAGGAGGGAGGAGGGGAGGGGGATAGGTTTAGAAGGGGGCGTGGCTTGGGGGTAACGTGAGGAGGGGGAGGGGGGGTGGGGTTAGAAGGGGCGTGGCTTGGAGGTAAGTGAGGAGGGGAGGGGGAGGGGGGATGGGTTTAGAAGGGGGCGTGACTTGGAGGTAACGTGAGGAGGGGAGGGGGGGGATGGGTTTAGGAGGGGCGTGGCTTGGGGGTAACGTGAGGAGGGGGAGGGGGGATGGTTTAGAAGGGGGCGTGGCTTGGAGGTAACGTGGGGAGGGGGATGGGTTTAGAAGGGGCGTGGCTTGGGGGTAAGGTGGGAGGAGGGGAGGGGGGATGGGTTTAGAAGGGGCGTGGCTTGGGGGTAAGGTGAGGGGGGGAGGGGGGATGGGTTTAGAAGGGGGCGTGGCTTGGAGGTAAGGTGAGGAGGGAGGAGGGAGGGGGGATGGGTTTAGAAGGGGGCGTGGCTTGGAGGTAATGTGAGGAGGGGAGGGGGGATGGGTTTAGAAGGGGCGTGGCTTGGAGGTAATGTGAGGAGGGAGGTGGGAGGGGGGATGGGTTTAGAAGGGGGCGTGGCTTGGAGGTAATGTGAGGAGGGAGGTGGGAGGGGGGATGGGTTTAGAAGGGGCGTGGCTTGGGGGTAAGGTGAGGAGGGAGGAGGGGAGGGGGATGGGTTTAGAAGGGGGCGTGGCTTGGAGGTAACGTGAGGAGGGAGGAGGGATGGGTTTAGAAGGGGCGTGGCTTGGGGGTAAGGTGGGAGGAGGGGAGGGGGGATGGGTTTAGAAGGGGCGTGGCTTGGGGGTAAGGTGAGGAGGGGAGGGGGGATGGGTTTAGAAGGGGGCGTGGCTTGGAGGTAACGTGAGGAGGGGAGGGGGGATGGGGGCGCGCGCGCGCGTGTGTGCCGCGCGGGGGGGGAGGGGGCGCACACGCGCGCGTGTGTGCCGCGCCAGGGGAGTGAGGGGGCGCGCGGGCGCGCGTGCGTGCGTGTGCCGCACCGGAGGGGGGAGAGGGGGGGGCGCGCGCACGCGCGTGTGCCGCGCCGGGGTGTGTGAGGGGGACGCGCGCGCGTGTGTGTGCATGTGTGTGTATGCCGCGCCGGGGGGTGTGAGGGGGCGCGCGCGCGCGTGTGTGTGCATGTGTGTGTGTGCCGCGCCGGAGGGGGGAGAGGGGGCGCGTGCGCGCGTGTGTGTGCATGTGTGTGTGCCGCGCCGGGGGGTGTGAGGGGGCGCGTGCGCGCATGTGTGTGCATGTGTGTGTGTGCCGCGCCGGGGGGTGTGAGGGGGCACGCGCGTGCGTGTGTGTGCATGTGTGTGTGTGCCGCGCCGGGGGGTGTGAGGGGGCGCGCGCGCGCGTGTGTGTGCATGTGTGTGTGTGCCGCGCCGGAGGGGGGAGAGGGGGCGCGTGCGCGCGCGTGTGTGCCGCGCCGGGTGGGGTGGGGGGGTGTGCGCGCGTGTGTGCCGCGCCGGGTGGGAGAGGGGGCACGCGTGTGTGTTTGTGTGCCGCGCCGGGGGGGGGAGGGGCCGTGCGCGTGCCTGTGTGTGTGCCGCGCCGGGGGGGAGGGGTGTGGGGCCATGTGTGTCCGCGCCAGGGAGTTTGCGCCAGTGCGCATGCTCAGTTGCTTTGTCGTTTATTGTGGTTGTTGTTGTGTGTTTTTGATTTCTGAGTGGATTAGTTTGTACCTTGTTGGTTGCCCTTGGGGCATGGGAAGTTTGGTGGCGTTTCGTTGGGGGGTTTTTGAGTTTTGTTCCGCCATACGACGCCAGGAGGAAATTTATATATATAGATATATATATATTATCATGTCAAAAATGAATTAAGAATACAGTTATACTGTACAGTAAAACCACAAAGTTAAAAACTTGACATTCTACTATGGCCACTTGGAGTGTCTCTAGTGTCGCTATAAGAAGGTCCTCCATTGTGCGTGTGGCAGGGCTCCGGCTGCATTGTAGTAAGTGGTCTGTGGTTTGCTCTCCTTCACACTCGCATCTTGTAGACTCCACTTTGTGACCCCATTTTCTAAGGTTGGTTCTGCATCCCGCGGCACCAGTCCGTTCAGCACCTTCCAAATCGCCCAGCCTTCTGTGTGCCCAGGAGGGAATTTCTCATCCAGTATCAGCCACTGATTAAAGTTCCAGGTTTTAGCCTGCCACTTTTGGACTCTTTCTTGCTGTCGTGTTCCTGCAAGTATCTTTGTTGATCTTAGGAAGCTGTTAATTAATTTAAGGCATTGATTTGTTGGCTGATATATAAGCAGAGGATAGACCAGAGATGTAAATGCTTGGTCCTTTTCATTGCTGACTGCTACTTCCTGGCTGATGTCAGATCATGCAATACCAGCTAAACAGTATAATTTCTCCAGCAGTGTAAGACATAAACATCCTATGATAATGCAGCATATCTCATTAAGAGCCACGTCCACTGTTTTAATGTGGTGAGATGTATTCCACAGTGGGCATGCGTACTCAACAGCAGAGTAACCAAGGGCAAGGGCAGATGGCTTCACTGTGTCTGGTTGAGATCCCCAGGTTGTGCCAGTCAGCAGTACTCAAGTGGGATTCATTCCCAGATAATCCTCAAGAATTCGAGATGCTTGTCTTTTCTTAAGATGAAAAACACATGTCTGCAATTTAGATGGATTAGAAATCAGCTGGTTTTCACCCTCCTTTCGCGCCTTCCTCTATCACAGGCATGACTTGTGGGGACGTGGGAGAGAGCCTTTCTCCACTATGGCCCCTGACTTTGGAACTCAATACCTGGCGAGATTAGGCAAGCCCCCACCTTAGTAGACTTCAAGAAAAAATTGAAAATTTGTTCCATCTACAGTGTTGCCCCTATGATGCACCCCCCCCCCCCCATCCTAAACTGAAAGCCTAACCCCTCTGTTCATCCTTTTTGGGCTCCTCTGTTCCTACCTCATCTGGTTGCCAGATTTTGTTCATTTTCATGGTTCATTTCAATGAACAAAATCTGGCTACCAGTATTAAAAAACTCAAAAATTACAACAGCAAAACAACAGAGAGTAAACAATCAGGCACATCAAATCACTCTCAACAAAAGATTCCCCCCAGGCACTTCCAAGCCATTAAATGCTAATCAAGGTGGTCAGTTGAAACATTCACACCTAGCTCCAGCAGACAAAAGGCCTTTGTCCCACCCTGGTCATTCCACAGATATATAAACCCATTTTCCTACTTCCAACAGACCTCACTACCTCTGAGGATGCTTGCCATAGATGCAGGCGAAACGTCAGGAGAAATGCCTCTAGAACATGGCCATATAGCCTGGAAAAACCTACAACAACCCAGTGATTCCGGCCATGAAAGCCTTCGACAATACAATAATAATAATAATAATAATAATAATAAACATGGGTAGTAGTAGTAATACCCTATTTACTCAAATCTAATGCTCACCTATGTTGGCTAAATGACCTTACCAAAATCAGACGCCTTAGATTCACGTCATACAGTCATCTGAGTGCTCAGTCAAAGCAAACAAGGGAAGCTGCTTCATGAGCAAATGCTTTTTGTTTAGGTCTCAGAATTTTTGAAAACTGAGTTGTGCATTCGATTCAATGGTGCATTAGTTTCTAATAAACATGGTAATTATAATCATAAGAATAAAACTCTGCTCTGATTCTGTGTTCTTGTTCTCTTCTCAGCCTTGGATGCCGAATCCCTCGGGGGAGATGAATGCTTGGAAGAAGATGAGGAAGAACTAGAGACGAGTCTCGAGGATCCGGAGAACGAAAACGTGGGGAAATTTGTCCCGGGGGGACGGGGGTGCTGCATTTTGACCCGCCGCGGCATCACTTTGAGGGTCCTCCTCAAAGATGGGCTGATCGAGCCAGGAGAAGGGGTGCTCTCCATTTATTACTTGGTGAGAAGGCCTCCCCCATTAGTCATGAATACTTTTTGAACCATAATAATAATAATAATAATAATAATAATAATAATAATAATAATATACTTTATTGATATTTTGCCCTATCTCCCCGAGAGGACAGAACACATATATGGCAAACATCCAATGCCGTTATATAATTAACACAGACAGACAATACATAAACAGAGGTGAAGGCTTCCCATCTTTTTCCATCTCCAGCATCTTGAGCCTGTGCTCGACTCCAGTCATGGGTGGGTGTTGTTGTTCCATCTTCAATGCTTTGTTGTCCTTAGATGCTCACCAGATAGAATCACCAGCATGTCCGCATCGGTGGCTTTTAATTACCTCCCATCTCCACCTATTTATCTACTCACATTGCTGTTTTCGAACTGCTAGGTGAGCAGAAGCTGGGCTAACAGTTGGGAACTCATCCCAACCCGGGCAGGAACTGTCAACCTTTCAATCAGCAAGATTTTCTGCAGCTGGCGGTTTAACCTGCTGTGCTAAAGCCCAGCTGAATGGTCTTTATTCCGTTTTCAGCATGACAGAGTGCATCAGGCATGTTCATGAGGCTGCAGTTGGCAGGCTTCATTCAATGTACATTTCTCCTTTGTGCAGGGGAAGAAGTTCCTGGGCGACTTGCTGACGGACGGCAAGATCGTATGGCAGGAGACTGGGCAGGTCTTCAACTCGCCCAGCGCCTGGGCCACCTATTGCAAGAAGCTGGTCAATCCAGCCAAGAAGTCCGGCTGCGGGTGGGCCTCGGTCAAGTACAAGGGGCAGAAGCTGGACCAATACAAGGCTGTCTGGCTGAAGAAGTACCAACCCAATGCTCCCCCAGCAGAGGAGGTAACTCTTTCCTCAGCCCTGGCCTTTCCCTCTCCTTAAGCAAGCCTACATTTGATATATATTTCTGAAATTGCTTTCTTGGATCATAGAATCCTTGAGTTGGAAGGGACCCCCTGAGGCGATCCAGTCCTACCCTATTTGGCTATAAAAGAATCATAGACTGTTAGTGTTGGAAGAGACCTTCAAAGACCATCCAGTTATACCCTATTTGACTAATAATTATATAATATACTTTATTTATATTCCTCTCTATCTCCCCGAGGGGACTCAGGGAGGATTACAAAACACATATACAGCAAATATTCAGTGCTGTTATACAATTAAGAAAGACAGATAGTACATGACCAGAGGTAAATCTTCTTCCATTTCCGGCATCTGGAGGCTGTGCTCAACTACGGCCACAAGGGGTGTGTGTGTGTGTATGCTGAGGAGCTTTGTTGTCCATAGATGTCCTCCTTATGGGCACCTTTTATTACCTCCCTGGTTAAAGCGGTACCTATTTATCTACTCACATTTCTGTTTTCGATCTGCTAGGTGAGCAGAAGCTGGGGCTGACGGCAGGCGCTCACCCTGACCCAGGTTTGAACTGCCAACCTTTTGATTAGCAGGATTTTATGCAGCTTAGCAGTTTAACCCATTGTGCTAAGCCCAGCCCCCCTAATAATAATAATAATAATAATAATAATAATAATAATAATAATACTTTATTTATATTCCACCTTATCTCCCCATGCAGGAGTCCTTCTGTTCAAATGTCTCCAAATAAGGTGCTTCCGCTACACCTCTATTTTAATTATCGCTATATGTCTTTATATAATTTATTTGTAATGTTTTTATACAAGTTGTAAGCTAATTGGTAACTTATGCTATCATTTATTTTTTAAATTTTGTCATTGTTGTTTTTTTAAAATATTTGATTAGTTTTTCTGTTTTCTATATATATAAAAATACTCTGTGCATAATGAGTACCTTAAAAACAAAAGAACCAATGAATGAAATCACACCAAATTTGGCAACAAAATGTCTCACAGCACAAGGAGTGACCATCTCTCAAAAATTATGATTTTGCCATTTGGGAGTTGTAGTTGCTGGGATTTATAGTTCACCTACAATCAAAGAGCATCTGAACTCCATCAATGATGGAATTGAACCAAACTTGGCACACAGAACTCCCATGACCAACAGAAAATACTGGAAGGGTTTGGTGGGCATTGACCTTGAGTTTGGGAGTTGTAGTTCACCTACATCCAGAGAGCACTGTGGACTAAAACACTGATGGATCTGGACCAAACTTGGCACAAGCACTCAATATGCCCAAATATGAACACAGATGGAGTTTGGGGGAAATATAAACCTTGACATTTGGGAGTTGTAGTCACTGGGATTCACAGTTCACCTACAATCAAAGAACATTCTGAACCCCACAAACGACAGAATCGGGGCAAACTTCCCACACAGAACCCCCATGACCAACAGAAAATACTTAAGGCCATCCAATCCAACTCTCTTCATCAGGGCAAGAAAACGTAATCAAAGTCCTCCTGACAAAGAGTCATCCAACCATAGATATAGATAGATAGATAGATAGATAGATAGATAGATAGATAGATAGATATGATTCACACACGCACAGATATAGTATCATAGATTTGAAAGGGATCCCTTAAAGAAGGGCAATGATATGTTGCATGTTCCAGGGTGGGCAAACCAGACACTCTCCACATCAACACTGACAAAGAAACAGCAAGAAATACTGTTTACCCAGAAGCATAAAGAAATTACATATATTAGAAACCAACACTTTCTCATTACTTTATTTTCCAGATCAACAGACTGGGCCACAGCAACGCGTGGCAGGGGACAGCTAGTTATTTATGAATATATTTGGCATTGAATGTTTGCAGTTTATTGTTGGAATCTGCCCTGAGTCCCCTTGGGGAGAGAGGGTGGAATACAAATAAAGTTTTAACTATTATTATTATTATTATTATTATTATTATTATTATTATGGCATCCCCATAGCATTCGACTGTAATATTGGCAATCAATATTGGAGAGATATGGTTGTGCTTCATAACTATTACTCTCTCCCTCCGCAGCAGGGTTTGGTGAGTGAAGGGGAAGAAGAGGAGCTGGCGGAGGACGAGGAAGATGATGCCAAAGGGGCAAAGACATCCCTCTCGGACTCCATGTTGGCGAAGAAGATGGAGGAAAAGGCCAGGAAGCAGCAAGGCAAGAACCTGGCGGAATTGCATGGTATGCTGGAGAATCAAAGAGAGGCAAAGTTGAACTCCAGATTCATCCAGATATTTATTTTCACTCTCTCCCCCAAAAGGAATAGATCTAAGATGTTAATCTTCACCTTCTGTTAACCTGCATTTGCAGACCCAAAATAGCCTCCAGGGTTTTTTAATTCAACCAAACACTGGAGGAAAGGAGATTGTTCAACAGGTTTATTTGATCAAATCACCCTGCCGGGTGAACAATAAATGTGCCACCCAAAACTGAGACGCAGCTCAGTTTTGGAGTCAACACCTTGAGCATGCGCACGGACTATTTGACATGATAGCCATGTATAAATATGAGAAAGGAGGTCACAAGGGGGAGAGAGTAGGCTTGTTTTCTGCTACCATGCAGTCTAGAACTCAATGGGTTCAAATTACAGGAAAGGAGATTCCATTGAACATTAGGAAGAACTTCTTGACTGCTTCTGGAACATGGCAATAATAATAATAATAATAATAATAATAATAATAATAATAATAATAATAATAACTTTATTTCTTGACCACACCTCTCTCCCAAAAGGGACTCAGGGCGGTTTACAGCACAAAAACAGGCAAACATTCAATGCCTTACAAAGTAACAAACAATATCAGAAATAATACAAAATAATACACAATAATAGCAATAAACTTATAATAAAAAATAAATGTTGAGATGGGGGATAAACCAATTAGACATTAAATTAGGACATGTAAACATTAAACATATATCATTAAAACAGATTTGAGTTGCATATGAAAAGGCTAACACAGGTTTTCCATACAGTTCAGAAAACTCACAACAACCCAACTTCCTGACTGTAAGAGCTGTTCAACTGTGGAACTTTCTACCTCGGAGTGTAGTGGAAGCTCCTTCCTTGGAGGCATTTAAACTGAAGCTGGATGGCCATCTGTTGGGGGTGCTCTGATTGTGGTTTTCCTGCATGGCAGAAGGAGGTTGGACTGGATGGTCCATGTGAACTATTCCAACTCTAGAACATGGCTCTATAGCCCGAAAAAACCCACAAGAACCTATTCCAACTCTGATTCTATTATTCTATTTTCTCTGATACATGCCTCATCTCTATCTCTTCCTTTTGCTCCCTTCTGGCACCAGCTGGAATAATAATAGAATAATATGAGTTGGAAGAGACCACATGGGCCATCTAGTCCAACACTGGGCAAAGGAAGGGAGTGGGTAGGTAGGGAGGCATTGGATCCTTCCTTCCTTGCCTGGTATTGAGAAGACCCACTGTGTTGGGAACCAGTTCATTACTGTAAGACCCTTGCAAATGTAGAATCCATATGAACATTGGGGTGTGTGTGTGTGTGTGTGTCTCTATACCATTCAATGGCATGCTTCCCATAGAGTTGTGTGGGAGGAAATAGCAAGATCTTGCAGAGGATTGCAATCTAGGAATCTCTTGGGATTCCAGCACAACTTTACGGTAGTAAGGAAATATAATGATCAAGGATCATACTTCAGATAATGGATGGGAATATACTTAATACTGGTGTGTGTGTGTTTGTGTGTCTTAATTATAATATAAAAAGAGAAAATGTGAAAGCAGGTTTATTAGCTCTGGATGTATATAAGGGTTTTGACAGTGCTTTAAAACTGGTATTGGAGAAATTTTGATTCAGAAAAGAATTAGAAGTTTAATTGACAAATTGTATTCAAAGAATTGTGCCTCAGTGATGGTAAACAATGGCCTAACGGGGGGGGGGGGAAGCATAACCTGCCCCTTCTCCCCAGCCTTGTTTGCAATTTTAATGGAAATTTTAGCCAATGTAATTAGAGAGGAATTTATCTACAGTATTTATATTACGTCCTTCTCACCCAAGAGGGGACTCAGGGCAAATGACAGAACCCATACACAGCAAACATTCAATGCCATTATACACTGACAGTACAGACACAGTACATAAATAGAGGTATCTAGGCTTTTCCCATCTTCAGCATCTTGGAGGTGGTGCTCAATTCTGGCCACTGGGAGAGGGGCAGTCGCTCCATCCACCATGCTGAAGAACCCTGTTCACAGACTTCCACCTTTTGATTGAATTGCTGGCATGTTTCTGGTAGTTCCTTATGGTGCCATTAAAATGCCTCTCCGTGTTAAGCGGTGCCTATTTATCTACTCACAGCTGTTTTTGATCTGCTAGGTGGGCAGTGAGCTGGGCTGAAAGTCAAGCACTTACCCCCGACTCTGGCTTTGAACTGTCAACTTTCTGATTGGCAAGATTTATTGTAGCTGGTGGTTAACCTGCTGTGCTAAAGCCTGGCCCAAAGTTAGTATAAACCAAATAGGATTTTAAAAAATTATTTATTTGTAGATGATACCCTTTTATCGGTGGAAAACCCAATACAACAGTGAGGAAAAATTGAAAATTACCTAAAAGAATTTGGGAAAATAACATGTTTACAAATTAATTGGAACAAGTCAAAAATATAAAATTATTAGAATCTGCTAAATTCAAATTATCATGGTTTGGAAAAATAGCATTGATTAAGATGAGAATATTGTGGGGTTCCTCAGGGCTCAATATTGTCTCCCATGTTGTTTACCATCTACATGAAGCCGCTGGGGGAGATCATCCGGAGTTTCGGGGTACGATGTCATCTGTACGCGGGTGAGGTCCAACTCTGTCACTCCTTTCCACCTGCTACTAAGGAGGCTGTTCAGGTCCTGAACCGGTGCTTGGCCTTCTCAGTGGTGGCCCTTCGGCTGTGGAACGCCCTTCCTACAGATATCAGATCGGCCCCCTCCTTATTGGCATTTCGGAGGAAAGTGAAGACCTGGTTGTTCGAACAGGCATTCGATTAGATAGTGTAATTGATTACAGGAACACGGAATAACGGATGATGGGATTGGATTCTGATTCTATTGACGAGACGCGAATGATTTGTCATATTGATGTTTAATTGTTGTTATGCTATTGTTTTTAAATGTTCCAATGGTTTTGTAATGTGTGCATTGAAATTGCTGCTGTTAACCGCTTTGAGTCGCCTAAGGGCTGAGAATAGCGGTATATAAATGAAATAAGTAAGTAAATAAATAAATAAATAAACTAAATTAAATTTCTTATTTGGAATGCTACCTATAAAAATATTGGACCATGATTTTTTTAAAAAAAATGGCAAATTATGTTAAACATGTAATGTAATGGTGTCAGGAATCAATTTCTGATATCTCGGGACATCATAAATTCTTTCCGTGACATCCTGAGGTTAGCAGATGGTGTCAGAGACCACGTTATAAGGCTTGTGGAGCAACTAGTTCTTATGGGAAGTCTGAGAACTGGGGCGAGGAGATGGATATAAAACCAGGAGGTGACGGGGAAAACCGCTAGTAGCGTCTTTCTTTTGCTGTGGAGGTCCAAGCAATTAAAGCCAGTTCCAATAAATTGACTTGTGAGTGGGTTTTGTTTTGCTAATTGGATCCTGCAGTGTGACAAATGGAAATTTAAATTTTTTTTTTTAAAAAAATGGAAATTTTAAAAAAGCCAGAATAAAAGAAACAAATACAAAACTTGGGGAAAATACACTTGAATTAAACACAGCATTTTAAAGATGGGAAAAAATTGAAATTTTAGCCAATGTAATTGGAGATGAAGTTAGTATAAAAGGAATAGGATTTTAATGTAGGATTAGTTAGTGTAGGATTAAAAAATAATTTCTTTGCAGATGATACCCTTTTATCAGAGGAAGAGCCAATACAACAGCGGGGGCGGGGGGATGCATTTCCATAGCTAAGTGTGGGTCATCATTGTTACTGGGACCCCCCGGTGGTGCAGTGGGTTAAACCCCTGTGCCAGCAGGACTGAAGGTTGCAGGTTCGAATCCGGGGAGAGCATTGCAGGGACATGAGAGAAGCCTCCCACAAGGATGGTAAAACATCAAAACATCCGGGTGTCCCCTGGGCAACATCCTTGCAGACGGCCAATTCTCTCACACCAGAAGCGACTTGCAGTTTCTCAAGTCACTCCTGACGCGACAAAAAAAATCATTGTTACTGTTATTATTAAGTGTGGATTTGAACTCTGAGTTGAATTGAGAATTGAACCCACCTTAAAGCATTAGGCCAAGCTATTGGCTTAAAGGGTTTGAACCCTAATGATAACTATGCCCTTCTCCCAATGGGTCAAATGGGGATTCAAACCCAGAAGATCAGCTCCGATCTTTATTTTCTTGGAAACTAAGTTTCTGAAATGTCTTATTATTTTGGATCCATTGATGGCGCTTTGAATTACCCTCAAACCCATATTTTTCCTTCCAGATAAAAGGGTCAACTACCGGAACCGGGTTCCGGTCCGCTATTGCAACTTAGGCAACCGGGATTCTGCCAGGTAAGAAGAACCCAAGAAAAATGCAGCTGGAGTTATAAAAGCCATGTATGGTAGGCTCTCCGTTAACTGGAACTCTCAAGCAACCGGCACAAAAAAATCTGTGTTGTGTTTCTCATAATAGGAGTCCGCACACTTTGGTCGAAGTCACCTCCTTTGCAGCCCTTAATAAATTCCAGCCTTTTAACGTCGCAATTTCGAGCAACGTCCTCCTGCTCTTGGTGCGTAACATTGAACGGCACCCATCTGGAAGCCAAAAATACCACCACCACCCAGTGTCTGCCTGTTGACTAAACACTTGCTTCTCTTTAGGACTTTCACAGCCACTTAACCAAAAGCGAAGTGGTCGGCTACCTGGGCGGACGATGGGACATCAACAGCCAATGTAAGTTCTGGCAGAAGCATTCGGTTTTGGAAAATTGTGATATTTGGAAAGGCATGACCTTGTTAGAAATCATAACCTTTTGGGAAATGGAATTCAGAACCATTTGGGAATATCAGGAATCTCCCTGAGAAGAGCTAAAAACTCACTTGAGTCAACCTTCTTCTTAGTGGTAAATATCCACTTGTATTCATGCAAGGCAATTAGGTTTCTCAGCTGTTAGACTGAAATCCCTAGATAGCTCTTTGAACTGTTAGGGACAAAGATATGCCATTGCACAAAAATACATCTATACACATAATAAAAGTGGAAATGTGTGTATACGTATGTGTAGCTGGGAAGTCCACCCACACAGACAAGCTCCTGCCTCCACAAATAGCTATAGCTCCCACTACTGAGGAGATGACAAAGGCCATCTCTCCAATGGCATTGCAGGTTAGTGAGCACCGTGAACATGTCCAAGAGCCCTGCCAATGTCCTCAACAAACACCACGCTGCCCACCACCCAAGTGAAGGTTTTCATACTGGGACCATTTCATCTTAAATTGTATGTGTTTCCTCTACCACAGACACCCCGGTGTTTCTGATTCTCTCTATTGGTGGGGAATTTGCATGATCCCACCCAGTGCTTCTCCTTAATCCCTTGCTATTTTTTTCTATGCCATGCAGTAAACAGAGGAATTGGTCAGTGACTAAACATACTAGAGAGGTTTGGAAATAATTCATCATGATTTATAGGAGTTGTAGGTACTGGGATGTATAGTTCACCTGCAATCTAAGAGCACTCTATACTCCACCAACAATGGATCTGGAACTAACTTGGCACACAGAACCACATTGACCAACAAAAATACTGGAGGTCTTTGGGGGGATTTATAGGAGTTGTAGTTCGCCTACATCCAGAGCACACTATGAACCCAAACAATGCAGTCTGGCTTTAGACCGGGACATGGAACTGAGACAGTCTTGGTCACCTTAGTAGATGATCTACGCCGGGAGCTCAACAGGGGGAGTGTGTCCCTGTTGGTTCTGCTGGACCTCTCAGCGGCCTTCGATACCGTTGACCACGGTATCCTTCTGGGATGCCTCGCGGGAATGGGCCTTGGAGGAACTGTTCTGCAGTGGCTCCGGTCCTTCCTAGAGGGTCGATTTCAGAAGGTGTTATTGGGAGACACCTGTTCTACCCCACAACCATTGTCTTGTGGGGTTCTTCAGGGCTCAATCTTGTCTCCTATGTTGTTTAACATCTACATGAAGCCACTGGGGGAGATCATCCGGGGTTCCGGGGTATGGTGTCATCTGTACGCAGATGATGTCCAACTCTGTCACTCCTTCCCACCTACTTCTAAGGAGGCTGTTCAGGTCCTGAACCGGTGCTTGGCCGCTGTAATGGTCTGGATGAGGGCGAACAAATTGAAATTGAATCCAGGCAAGACAGAGGTACTCCTGGTCAGTCGCAAGGCCGAACAGGGCATAGGGTTACAGCCTGTGTTGGACGGGGTTACACTCCCCCTGAAGACACAGGTTCGCAGCTTGGGTGTGATCTTGGATTCATCGCTGAGCCTGGAACCCCAGGTTTCAGCGGTGACCAGGGGAGCATTCGCACAATTAAAACTTGTGCGCCAGCTGCGCCTGTACCTTGGGAAGTCTGACTTGGCCACAGTAGTCCACGCACTGGTTACATCCCGTATAGACGACTGCAACGCTCTCTACGTGGGGTTGCCTCTGAAGACTGCTTGGAAGCTACAAATGGTCCAACGATCGGCAGCCAGGCTGTTAACAGGAGCGGCAGTCAGGGAGCACACCACTCCTCTGTTGCGCCAGCTCCACTGGCTGCCAATCTGCTACCGGGCACAATTCAAAGTGCTGGCTTTAGCCTTTAAAGCCCTAAAGGGTTCTGGCCCGACCTATCTGTCCGAACGCATCACCCCCTATGAACCAGTTAGGACATTAAGATTGTCCGGGTAGGCCCTGCTCTCGATCCCACCAGCCTCACAAGCACGGCTGGCGGGGACGAGAGACAGGGCCTTCTCAGTGGTGGCCCCTCGGCTGTGGAACGCCCTTCCCGCAGACATTAGATCGGCTCCCTCCCTACTGGCATTCAGGAGAAGAGTGAAGAGCTGGCTCTTTGAACAGGTGTTTAATTATGCAGTGCACTTAATTGATTGACTATTGGAACATGGAATAATGGACAAAGAGATCGGATTATGACTTACTGGTGAGACTTGATGGATTAGTTATATGGATGTATTGATGTTATATTGATGTATTGATGTATTGTTATATTGATGTAGTTGCCATGATTACTGCTTTTAAATGCTAATGTTGTGCACTTTGTATACTGATTTGGTTGTAAACCGCTCTGAGTCGCCTACGGGCTGAGAGAGAGCGTTATACAAATAAAGTAAATAATAAATAAATGATGAATCTGGACCCAGTTTGGCATGCATAACCAATATGCCCAAATTTAAATACTGGTGGGTTTTGAGGGGAATTGGCCTGGACATTTGGAGTTGTAGGTACTGGGATTTATAGTTCAACTGCCTGCTCTCCCCTCCCCTGCTTGGAGTCTTAGAAACATCCCTCCCCTTGGCTGAGAGGCTGGTCAATCACAGCAGAGGAGGGCTTTTGGTGGGAGGATTTGCCGTCTGTTTCCAAACAGGAAGAGAAGGACAGGTGGATAGATCTTCAGCCTTCTCTGCCAAAGGGGTTCTGAAGACTATCAGAAATATATGTTTTGTGATGGTCTTTGGTGACCCCTCTCAAACCCCCTTGCAACCCCCCCTAGGGGTCCTAACCCCCAGGTTGAGAAATGCTGGTCTATGAGGTTGGATGGCCAGCTGTTGGGAGTGTTGGAAATAGCAACCTTCTAAAAGCCTCCTATTATTTGTTATTTCTCTTTCAGTGTTGACGGTGCTGAGAGCATTTCCTTGCCGTTCTCGTCTCGGAGATGGGGAGATGGCGGCAGCCGTAGAGGAAGAGGTACCAAACGACGTTATTTCTATAGTGTAGATGCACCCTGGGCTTTATCAAGCATTTTCAAGTCATTCTTTGAAGGGGGTTAACACTTTCCAAGGCTGAGAATGTGCGACTATCTGCCCAAGGTGGATTCGAACCCAGAATCTCAGCCCAGTGTTTGGGCCCCAATGGCCAATATAATGTTGCTTTCCTCTCCAGATCTGCCAGAACCTGTTCATGCGAGGGCTCTCCTTGGTGGGCTGGTACCACAGCCATCCATTCACCTATGCCCTCCCTTCGCTGCAGGACATCGACACCCAAATGGAGTACCAGCTAAGGCTGCAAGGGACAAGCAATAGCTTTCAGCCTTGTTTGGCTCTCATCTGCGGTAAGTCGGGAGGACCGGCTTGAAGAACAAATCTTACTACACTCTAAGCAGTGAGAAATGATGACCTCTGCAGAGAGCTAGACAGGGGGAGTGTGTCCCTGTTGATTCTCTTGGATCTCTCAGTTGCTTTTGATACCATCGACCATGGTATTCTTCTGGGTCGGCTGTCTGGAATGGGGCTTGGAGGCACTGCTTTGCAGTGGCTCCACTCCTTCCTGGAGGATTGTACCCAGATGGTGATGTTGGGGGACACCTGCTTGGATCCCTGGGCATTGACTTGTGGGGTCCTGCAAGGTTCAGTTCCATCCCCCCCATGCTTTTCAATATCTACATGAAACCATTGGGCAAGGTCATCTGGAGTGTTGGAGTTCGGTGTCATCTGTATGCAGATGACACACAGCTCTACTACACCTTTCCACCTCATTCCAAAGAAGCTCCCTGGATCCTGGACCAGTGCAGCGACTGACCAGGAGGACTTCTGTCTTGTCTGGATTTAGCTTCAGCGTGTTGGCCCTCATCCACTATGATGGACTGGATGAGGGCCAACATGCTGAAGCTAAATCCAGACAAGACAGAGGTCCTCCTGGTCAGTCGTAGGGCCGATTGGGGCATAGGGTGGCAACCTGTGCTCTACGGGGTTACATTCCCCCTCAGGATACAGGTCCACAGTGTGGGAGTTCTCCCGGACTCAGTGTTGATGCTTGAAGCTCAGGTGTCAGCGGTATTATTTTATTGTAATTTGTATCTTATTTTATTGCAATTTGTTGTTCGGGCTTGGCCTCATGTAAGCCGCCCTGAGTCCCCATTGGGGGAGATGGTGGCAGGGTATAAATAAAGAGTATTATTATTATTATTATTATTATTATTATTATTATTATTAGCCAGGAGGGCCTTCACACAGCTAAAACTTGTGAGCCAGCTGCAACCATACCTCGAAAAGCCAGACTTGGCCATGGTGGCCCACATCTTGGCCATGGTGGTCCGCATCTCTGTTTATGAACCTGCACGCTCCCTTCGCTCATCCGGAGAGACCCTGCTCACGATCCCACCTGCGTCGCAAGCGCGGTTGGTGGGGACGAGGGACAGGGCCTTCTCTGTGGTAGCCCCCGACTCTGGAACTCTCTCCCCAAGGACATCAACAAGCCCCAACGTTGGCAGTCTTTAGGAAGAGCTTGAAGACCTGGCTATTCCGGTGTGCCTTTCCAGAATAGGAAACTCCAGCAACACGTCCCAGAAGCACTTTATTAGAGATTTTAAGATTGTCCGCACACTGCACTTACCCAAACATCCTTATATTTCATTTAGCATCCTCAGCACTTTTTAATCTGTACCCTTAACACTTGGCCTGGCCTTAGTTTTATTGCGCTATGTGTACTGTTTCTACTGTTTTCTGTTATTGCTTTCATGTTTTGATTTGTTTTATGGTTTATGTGTATCTGTTATATTGTTGTTTTATTGAGGCCTTGGCCTTTGTAAGCCGCATCGAGTCCTTCGGGAGATGCTAGCGGGGTACAAATAAAGTTAATAATAATAAATAATAATAATCTTAGTTACATCTAGAATCGATAACTGCAGTGCACTCTACGTGTGGCTGCTTTTGAAGACAGCTCAGAAATTGCAATTAGTGCAAAGATTGGCAACCAGGCTACTAACTGGCGCTAGCTATAGGGAGCACACCACACCCCTATTAAAGCAGCTCCAGTGGCTGCCAATAAGTTTCCGGTCCCAATTCAAAATGCAAGTTATCACCTACAACGCCCTACATGGTTCGGGTCCAGCGTATCTTTGTGACCGCATCCCCCCCTATGAATTGGTGCAGGCGTGAAGAGGAACTCCTCTCAGTCCCATCTCCATCTCAAGCACAGTTGGTGAAAAGAGGGAGAGAGCCTTCTCAGTGGTGGCTCTCTGGCTTTGGAACGCCCTCCTCAGGGAAATTAGGCAAGCCGCCACACTCCAATGTTTCTGGAGGGAGCTGAAAACATGGCTCTTTAGGCAAGCCTTTGATAATGACTAAGACACCAGCAAACCAGAGGATCAAACAAACAGTTATTGATTCTGGCACTTTAATGTTACAGTAGAGTCTCGCTTATCCAACCTTTGCTTATCCGACATTCTATCTTATCTGATGTTCTTATCCGATGCCCCCTTTTCTTCCAGCATTTCCCCTTCAATTAAAGGAGCGCTCCCCAACTCTCTCCATTCCCAATAAGTGAAACGGAAGCAGAAGCATCCTCCCTCCTTCTCTCTATAATTTCCATGCTCTTCCACACCTGGGCACTTCCTGCTGGGCTGCTTTAGCCCCGAGGCATTGCCTTGCCTTAACCCTTTGAGTCTCTGTTGTTAGTACTCTAGATGTCTTAGCACGTCAGATGGATAACAGTAGGATACTCCATATTATCTGACATTTTCATTTATCTAACGTTCTGTCGACCCGTTTATGTCGGATAAGTGAGACTGTTCTCGCAATTCGGCTGTTATTTATTCATTTATCATGTCAGGAGCAAGCCAAACAGTTGTATTGCATTTTTAACAAACAAACAAACAAACAAAAACAAACCACAAAGTTTGCAAGCTTGGTAGTTGATTAAATGTCCTTTGCCCAGTAGCTGGCCACTTGGAGTGCCTCTGGTGTTCCTATAAGAAGGTCCTTCATTGTGCATGTAGCAGGGCTCAGGTTGCATCGCAGCACATGGTCTGTAGTTTGCTCTTCTCCACACTCGCATGTCGTGGACTCCACTTTGTAGCCCCATTTCTTGAGGTTGGTTCTGCATCTCGTGGTGCCAGAGCGCAGTCTGTTCAGCACCTTCCAAGTCACCCAGTCCTCTGTGTGCCCAGGGGGGAATCTCTCATTTGGTATCAGCCATTGATTGAGGTTCTGAGTTTGAGCCTGCCACTTTTGGACTCTCGCTTGCTCAGGTGTTTCAGCGAGTGCCTCTGTAGATCTAAGAAAACTATTTCTTGATTTAAGTTGTTGACATGCTAGCTGATACCCAAACAGAGGATGAGCTAGAGATTCGGCTGTGACTGGGATGTTTTAACATGGTTGTATTGCCCATTTTAATAGTAGTTATTGCCATATTTTATTGCGTATTTTACTTAAATTGAGTTGGGCCTTTTATCTTTGTGTTTATGTCAATTGATATTGTTATTGTTATAAATTTTGATGTAATTTACTTGTATTTTATGTACTTTATGGTACTATTATGTGTTGTACTGTAAGCTGCCCCGAATTCTTTCTGGCAGATGGTGGCAGGATACAAATATTTTTTTTATTATTATTAAATATTATTATTATTATTACTACTACTATTATTAAAAGGCCAATGTGATTCTAGGATGAATCAATAGGATAGTGTCACAATCAAGGGAAATCACAGTCCGTGTGAAAAGAATCTAGGAGTCTTAGTGGACCACAATAGAATCATAGAATCATAGAATCAAAGAGTTGGAAGAGACCTCATGGGCCATCCAGTCCAACCCCCTGCCAAGAAGCAGGAATATTGCATTCAAATCACCCCTGACAGATGGCCATCCAGCCTCTGTTTAGAAGCTTCCAAAGAAGGAGCCTCCACCACACTCCGGGGCAGAGAGTTCCACTGCTGAACGGCTCTCACAGTCAGGAAGTTCTTCCTCATGTTCAGATGGAATCTCCTCTGAACATGAGGAAGTTCAACATCAAGTTCAACATCAGTCAAGAGTGTGATGTGGCAGCAAAAAAACCCCAAAAAAACAAAACAAAATCCAAGGCGATTCTAGGCTGCCTTCTCCAGCTAATTCCCATCCTTCCCCAGCTGATGACAAGGTTTATTATTGCAAGATCTTTATCTTTTGCACTGAAATACAACTCCCAGCAGGCTCATAGCCACAATTTTGATTTGGGGGGGGACGGACGGACGGACGGAGTTTGATTCGGGGGGGGGGGCTCAGGATCTACCCTAGCAAACCTTTTGTATCGTTACCCCAATACCCCCATGCATATGGGATATATTGAGCATGGTGATCGGATCATGATATGAATAAACATAACAGTTTAAATAATGTACCAGTAAGGCCTTCTCGCAGACCACCCTGAGAATTTTGGGGGGGGGGGGCTAAAGCCCCTCACCCCACACACACACCAGCTACGGGCCTGACTCCCAGGATTCCATAACAGTTAGGATGGTGTCATACAGGAAAACCCCGTAATTCGTAGGAATTTTCTTACATTTCTTTTGGATATATTCAGGCCCCCTGTGTGTCAGAACAAATGAAGGAAATGTGTCTAGAAACAAAGGTGTGTTTTGAGAAATGAATGGTATAACAGTTGACAATGGTTATGGGCCCAGCAAAAAGAGGATTGATGAGAGGGGCCAGTTGCTTCATGGTGGCCAAAGAATACTGAGCCAAAGGGGAAATGTTGGCTACTAGATTCTGGGGCTACCCATCATATAGTAACTGATCCAGCAATGTTAACTAATGTAAGAGACACTCCAGCACTGATAAAACTCTAAGACATTAACGTCCTGCTTCAATCAGCCTCAATTAATGCATTAAAATCTTCACTTGTCCTTCCAGGTCCATACTTTCCAGGCAACCAAGGTGCAGAGTCCAAGATCTCGCCTTTTTGGGTCATGCCACCTCCAGAGGTAGGTTTTGCGATGACTGCCAATGACCTTGCTTGAATTGGAATTCTGGGATTTGTAGTGTGAGCTCACCTACAAATCCCAATGGTTCATAGAACTGAGCCATGGCAATTCATGAACCTAAGAATGCAACCGGACCATTATTTTGTCCAAATCCTGTTCTGATGATGCCAACAGAAATCTCTTTTTTGGAGTGCTGCTTGCAATGAATGCAGTTTTTCAAAACGTGCTGCAGGTCCCAAGTTGTGCCACCAGGGGGAGTGTTGCCACTTTTCCCATGAACGCCAGCCTTCTGCAGACCCCACTATCCACATCTTGTAAACCTCATATATCTAAGAAATAGGGCATATGTTCTCTATACATTATTTATTTGTTTGCATCAAATAAATACATTGGAAAAAGGACTCAGTCATCTCTCTCTCTCTCTCTCTCTCTATATATATATATATATATATAAATGCTCTGTGCGTAATGAGTACCTTAAAAACAAAAGAACCAATGAACGAAATCACACCAAATTTGGCAACAAAAGTCTCACAACACAAGGAGTGACCATCACTCAAAAATTATGATTTTGTCATTTGGGAGTTGTAGTTGCGGGGATTTATAGTTCACCTACAATCAAAGAGCATTCTGAACTCCACCAACGATGGAATTGAACCAAACTTGGCACACAGAACTCCCATGACCAACAGAAAATACTGGAAGGGTTTGGTGGGCATTGACCTTGAGTTTTGGGAGTTGTAGTTCACCTACATCCAGAGAACACTGTGGACTCAAAAATGATGGACCAAACTTGGCACAAATATTCCATATGCCCAAATATGAACACAGATGAAGTTTGGGGAAATAGACCTTGACATTTGAGAGTTGTAGTTACTGGGATTTATAGTTCACCTACAATCAAAGTAGCATTCTGAACCCCACCAACGACAGAATTGGGGCAAACTTCCCACACAGAACCCTCATGACCAACAGAAAATACTGTGTTTCTGGTGGTCTTTGGTGACCCTTCTGACCACCCCCCCCCCCCAGGGTCTTGACTTCCCAGGTTGAGAAATGCTGCCTTAAGGCCATCCAGTCCAACTCCCTTCACCAGGGCAAGAAAACATAATCAAAGCCCTCCTGACAAAGGGCCATCCAGCCATTCACACACACATATATGTATATGACAGATGCAGTATCAAAGATTTGAAAGGGACCCCTAAAGAAGGACAATTATGTTGCATGTTCCAGAGTAGGCAAACCAGACAATCTCCACATCAACACTGACAAAGAAACAGCAAGAAATACTGTTTACCCACAAGCATAAAATTTTACATATATTAGAAACCATCACTTTCTCATTATTTATTTTCCAGATCATCAGACTGGGCCACAGCAACGCGTGGCAGGGGACCGCTAGTATCTTATATTTCCTCCAATTTTCTTTCAGCAACGGCCATACGATTACAGCATCCCCATGGAAGTGGAGGTCACCTACGTTCAAGATGGATTCCTGACCAACGATATTCTCCATGAAATGGTATTTCTTATACCTTTCAATCTATCCCTCTGTCCTTTCTCTATCATCTCTTTCATCTGTCTTTCTATTATCTCCGAGTGTTCTTGGAGAAAACTGATTATCTGGATCTGGCGCGGTCTGGCTTTAGGCCGTGACATGGAACAGAAACAGCCTTGGTCACCTTAGTGGATGATCTATGCAGGGAACTTGACCAGGGGAGTGTGCCCCTGTTGGTTTTTAGTGGTCTTCAATACCGTAGACCACGGTATCCTTCTGGGACGCCTCGTGGGAATGAGACTTGGAGGTACTGTCCTACAGTGGCTCCTGTCCTTCCTGGAGGGCCGTTCCCGGAAGGTGCTCTTAGGGGACACCGGCTCGGCCCCACAGCCTTTGTCCTGTGGGGTTCCGCAAGGTTCAGTATTATCTCCCATATTGTTTAACATCTACACGAAGCCCTGGGAGAGATCATCCTGAGTTTTGGAGTTCGATGCCATCTGTATGCAGATGATGGTCAACTCTACTACTCTTTTCCACCTGCTGCTAAGGAGGCTGTTCAGGTCCTGAACTGCTGCTTGGCAGTTGTAACCATCTGGATGAGGGCGAACAAATTGAAATTGAATCCAGACAAGACGGACGTACTCCTGGTCTACCTATCTAGAGATCAAAATAGCACAGTAACAAAGAGCAAGCCTGCTTGGAACATGCCATGTTATCCAGTGACATCTCCTAGTTTCTACCAGTTTCTCAGACAGAATCTGAATCACGGACGGGCCCAAAACCAATGTTTGGCATCCTCTAGGGGTCCTCAACCTTTTTAAACAGAGGGCCAGGTCACAGTCCCTCAAACTGTTGGAAGGCCGGATTATAATTAGAAAAAAATGAATGAATTCCTATGCACACTGCAAAAAAATCCACTTAAAACAATACAATAATTAAAATGAAGAACAATTTTAACAAATATAAACTTATCAGTGTTTCAATGGGAAGTGTGAGCCTGCTTTTGGCTGATGAGATAGGATTGTTGTTGATGTGTGCTTTCAAGTCATTTCAGACTTAGGTTGACCCTTAGTGAGGGCCGGGTAAATGACTTTGGAGGGCCGTATCCGGCCCCCGGGCCTTAGTTTGAGGACCCTTGCTCTAGTACAATGGTTCTCAACCTTCCGAATGCTGCGACCCCTTAATACAGTTCCTCATGTTGTGGTGACCCCCAACAATAAAAATATTTTAGTTGCTACTTCATAACTGCAATTTGACTACTCTTTCCTATGATTTACCATTCTCTGTGTTGTTTTTGTAACATACTGTTACTATCACAAGGGGCAGTATTTACATCAACCACAGCTGAACACAGAAAGACCAGTCAGTATCCAGATTAAGTTCCCATCATACAGATTTTTTTTGCAGTAATTGGAGATTTTACAGTACACAATTTTACATTTACCCAGTAACTACAATTTATGAAGTGTTGTCTTACCTCCAATAGTGCTGCTTTCAACACAGTAGCTACTTTTAACAGAGTAGCTGCTTTAAACACATGTGAATGGTCCACATTATGACACCAACTCTGTCACATATACCTGTATTTGTACGGGGTGTATGTGATGGGGTCGGCACGATGTCTTCATGCCATGTTCTCCTAAGTGGGAATATCTGCATGTGGGCAGACCCACCTGGAAACGGAAAGACGAGCGGTTTCTCAGTTCCTCAAACCATTGGAAATATGTATTTTCCAATGGTCTTTGGCGAACCCTGTGAAAGGGTCGTTTGACCCCCAAAGGGGTTGTGACCCACAGGTTGAGAACCTCTGCTCTAGTAGATGTGAAAGGGATTGATTGATTACACTGTTCAACGGAGAAAAAGTTGCGGGCCTGAAAATAGTTGTTCTTTTATGATTTTGGGGTGCTGAAAACGAAAATGACATTTAAAAATGTATATTGGCTCTAGTTTTTATGATATAAGCAATCACATGATCACGTATGGTTGAAAAAATGCATGTTGCGACTTACACTATGGAAGATTCTAGAAAGTTGCGGGCCTGAAAATAGCTGTTCTTTTATGATTTTGGGGTGCTGAAAACGAAAATGACATTTAAAAATGTATATTGGCTCTAGTTTTTATGATATAAGCAATCACATGATCACGTATGGTTGAAAAAATGCATGTTGCGACTTACACTATGGAAGATTCTAGAAAGTTGCGGGCCTGAAAATAGCTGTTCTTTTATGATTTTGGGGTGCTGAAAACGAAAATGACATTTAAAAATGTATATTGGCTCTAGTTTTTATGATATAAGCAATCACGTGATCACGTATGGTTGAAAAATGCGACTTACACTATGGAAGATTCTAGAATACTCTAGAAAGTTTGATGACGCAGTATTAGTGCCGTGTGCAAAATCCAGAAAGCCCTATATAAGGCCAGACTTTTGAACGGTGAGGGTCAGTCAGTTGAAGACTGAGACAGTATCGTTAAACATCGTTTTACATTGTTCTTTTTACTGTAGTTATGCCTCGCACGTGTGTAAATAAAGCACTATGGAAAAAAGATATCAAGGCAAATGGACTCCGTCAATGCTGTCAGACTACTGCTGGAGCATTGTAAGAGACAATCCTTTCCTTGAATACAAAAGAAAAGTCAAGAGAAGCAAACAGGATAAAAACTAAAGTCACGATTAAAGCGACATTTAAACTTTCAGACTTTTCAACTGCATTAGGCCTACTAATATAGTTTCTTGCTGCACAAACATAAACAATAGACTAATTAAATAAATATTTCTCATGTATAAACTATTGGCAATATAATTTGACTAAAATTTAGTAAATATTCACGGTTTATATACATGCAGTAAGGTTAGGTGCATTATCATAATATTAACGAATTACCTATTGTGGAGAAAATTGAAATAGCTGTTGCATAAAAACCATTAACACATTTAATTATTATATTTGAATTCTTGCTGCACAAACATAAACAATAGACTAATTAAATAAATATTTCTCTTGTATAAACTATTGGCAATATAATTTGACTAAAATTTAGTAAATATTCACGGTTTATATACATGCAGTAAGGTTAGGCGCATTATCATAATATTAACGAATTACCTATTGTGGAGAAAATTGAAATAGCTGTTGCATAAAAACCAGAGCCAATTAACACATTTAATTATTATATTTGAATTCAGCATGTTAAATTTATTAAGAAACGGCACATTTCGTTTCCGTAACTGAGAAAAACTGAAAATTTGTAGAACAGTGTTATTAACCAAAGTCTGTGTTATATGATGATTGCCTGCTTTGAGTCCTTACAGGGAGAAAGGCGAGAGATAAAGAAATATAATAATAACATGCTGGAATGTCTCTTTCCCAAACTTCCAGATGTTGCTGGTGGAGTTTTACAAGGGGGCCCCGGACCTGGTGAAATTTCAAGAGACATGGAACCAGGAGCAGACCTATTTGGACAAGCTCAAGGTACAAAACATTGGATCACTCCCCTAAAAATGAACCCAGGACATAGCTACTCGTATCTATCTATATGGCTCCTTAGATTATATTTTGAGGAGGAAGAATGCTTCGCCTTGCCCCCTTTTTACCATTATTTCATAGTCAGCCAGGATTTTATTTATTTATTATGTCAAAACCAAATTGGGAATACAGTTATAATATATAGAAAAATGACAAAGAAAGTTAAAAACTTGGCATTATACCAAATGTCATTTGACCAGAAGCTGGCCACTTCGAGTGCCTCTGGTGTCACTGTGAGAAGGTCCTCCATTGTGCACGTGGCAGGGTTCAGGCTGCATTGTAATAGGTGGTCTGTGGTTTGCTCTTCTCCAAACTCTTCATTTTGTGGAGTCCACTTTATGGCACCAGTTTTAAAGTTGGCTCTGCATCTCATGGTGTTCGGTGCCTTCCAAGTTGCCCAGCCTTTCATGTGCCCAGGAGGGAGTTTCTCATCCGGTCCCAGCCACTGATTGAGGTTCCAGGTTTTAGCCTACAACTTTTGGACTCTCCCTTGCTGGGGTGTTCCTACAAGTATCTCTGTACATCTTAGGAAGCTATTTCTTGATTTAAGGCATTGGCATGCTGGCTGATATCCGAACAGAGGATGGGCCAGAGATGTCACTGCCTCAGACCTTTTATTGCTGGCTGCTACTTCCTGGCAGATATCAGGTGGTATCAGCAGTATAATTTCTCCAGTGGTGTGGGGTGTAGACATCCTGTGATAATGCGGCATGTCTCATTAAGGGCCACATCCACTGTTTTAAGGTGGTGAGATGTATTCCACACTGAGCATGCGTATTCAGCAGCAGAGTGGCAAACACTAGGCTAGTTGTCTTCTCTGTGTCTGGTTGTGATCCCCAGGTTGTGCCAGTCAGCTTTTGTATGATATAATTCCTAGCATCCCCTTTTTGCTTTTTGATATTCAATCAGTGCTTCTTGTAAGTCAGAGCACGGTCCAGAGTGACTCCCAGATGTTTTGGTGTGCTGCAATGCTCCAGTGGGATTCTTTCCCAGGTAATCCTCAGAGCTCAAGATGCTTGTCTTTTCTTAAGATCTAAAGCATATGTCTGTGTTTTAAATGGATTAGAAATCAGCTGGTTTTCCCTGTAAAAGGCAGTAAGAGCACCTAAAGCTTTGGAGAGCTTCTGTTCAACCTGCTCCCTGCTTGAGCAGGGAGCAGGTTGAGCAGTGATCGCATGCTGCTTGAGCAGTGATTGCATGATCATCAGCATAGATGAAACTCTCTGTCCCTTCTGGTAGTGACTGATCATATGTGTAAATGTTAAGCATGCTCCCCTGAGGCAGGTGGTTTTTCTGTTTTGGCCATCTGCTTTTTTGACCCTGGTACTCAACAAAAAAGCTCCTGTCAGTCAGGATGCCTTTATGAGAGTCAACAAACTTTAAGGTAATGCAAGTTATACAAATATCTCAAACACATGTAAAAGAGGTGTGCGCACACCATATTGGGAAACATAAACAAGCCATGTTGGGATGGAACAAAGGATATACCCTATTTACCCAAATAGGCTATATATATAAAAATGTACCTGTTCTGACTTACGTACAAATTCAACTTTTGAACAAACCTAGAGAACCTGTCTTGTTTGTAACTTGGGGACTGCCTGTACTTATTTGACCTGATTGGGATGTTTGGGTGACACTCTCTGGCCTTTTCTTTCTCTCTCGAGGGATCCCTGGCCTCAAGGACGCCGAAGGACCAAGGTTTCGGCCACATCCTGGAACAGGTCTACAACCTCCTCAAACATGGCAGCTGAAAATGGCTTCAAAATGACATTTTGCGTGCATTTCGGAGCCTAGACAGAGACTACAAGTATCCCATAAACTGCTCTCCAGCAAGGATCTCCAGATGTTCTTATCCTTGGGGGCCATGGTAGTACAGCTGGTTAAACTGCTAACTGCAGAAAAACTGGTTGACTAGAAGGACAGCAGTTTGAAGCTGCGGATCGTGTGAGCTACCACTGTCAGCCCTAGCTCCTGCCTACCTAGCAGTTTGAAAATATGTGATGTGAGATCAATAGGCACCATCTTGGCAGGAAGGTAAAAGGTGCCCATGCAGTCATGCTGGCAAAACGTGACCAGGAGGACCTGCAGACAACAGGCTCCTTGGCATGGAAAATGGAACAAGAGCACCTCCCCATGGCCAGAGTTGAGCATCACCTCCAGATGCCAGAGATGGAAAGGGAAACTTTGTGTATTGTATGTTATTGTTCACTGTATAAAAGGCATTGAATGTTTGCGTATATATATGTGTATAATGTAACCCCTTGGGGAGATAGAGGGTTATATAAAAAGTATATTATTATTATCATCATCATCATCATCATCATCATCATCATCATCATCATCATCATCATCATCATCCTTGGCATCTTACCTTGAAATACATTGGGCAACGGACCCACTTCACAGAATGGCAATTGAGGCCAAGGTGTGTAACCTAGCCAAACCTGTTTGCCCTTGGCTAGCCAGAATCGTGAAATCTTTTAGAAGGTGCCAGATCTTGGTCCATAGATACTGAACCAGGAGCTGACATATTCAGCTGTAGCAAAAGACAACAAGATCCAGAATGCACAAAAGTGGTATCTATGCTGGGCAACGAAAATGCTAAAAATCAAGTCATCTTCCAAAGCTAGTTGGCTGACTTCTTCATGGGGGAAATCTTACTGGAGAAGGAAAGTGTAATGGGGGGGGGAAAGCCTATGTTTCAGTTGTTACTGTGGTTTGTAGGAATCCCAATGCCAGCAGAGGTCAGTCTCTGTTTTGGCCAGGATTGGATTCCAATTACACCTAAACATTAGGAAGAATTTCCTGACAGTAAGAGCTGTTTGACAGCAGAATATACAATGAGGTCTCCTTTTCTGGAGGTTTTAAAATGGGCTGGATGGCCATCTGCCAGGAGGGATTGGATGGTGCCTCCTGAATGGCAGAAAAGGGTTGGACTGGATGGCCTTTGGGTGTCCCTTCCTACGTTAGTAGTCTCTGGCTGCATCAACACTATCCTATATCCCAGGATCTGATCCCAGATTATCTGATTATCCCAGATTATATGGAAGTATAGACTCATATAATCCAGTTCAAAGCAGATAAACTGAGATCAGATCCTGGAATATAGTGCAGTGTAGATCCAGCCTCTGATTCTACCACCTCATTTCTCCATAAAACAGCTAAGGGCGTGGATTGGGTGCTAGAAATAATATCATATGAAAGCAGACTGGCACACCCTAGGGATCACAACCAGACACAGTGAAGACATCTGCCCTTTCGCTTTGCTACTCTGCTGCTGAATACGCATGCTCAGTGTGGAATACATCTCGCCACATTGAAACAGTGGATGTGGCTCTTAATGAGACATACCACATTATCACAGGATGTCTACTCCCAACACCGCTGCAGAAATTATAGTGTTTAGATGGTATTGCACCACCTGATATCCGCAGAAAAGTAGCAGCCAGCAATGAAAGCACAAAGGCATTGACATCTCCAGCCCATCCTCTGTTCAGATTATCAGCCAAAATGCCAATTCCTTAAATCAAGAAACAGCTCCCTAAGATCTAGAGACACTCGCAGGAACACCTAAGCATGCGAGAGTCCAAAAGTGGCAGGATAAAACCCAGAACCTCAATTAGTGGCTGAGACTGGATGAGAAACTTCCTCTTGGGCACACAGAAGACTGAACGACTTGGAAGGCGCTGAACAGATTGCGCTCTGGCACCACGAGATGAAGAACTAACCTTAAGAAATGGGGCTACAAAGTGGAGTCCACGACATGCAAATGTGGAGGAGAGCAAACCACAGACCACTTACTGCAATGTGGTCTGAGTCCTGCCACATGCACAACAGAGGACCTTCTCACAGTGACACCAGAGGCACTCCAAGTGGTCAGGTTCTGGTCAATAGAAATCTAGTATAATGCTGTGTTTTTAACTTGGTTTGTGATTTTCTTAATACGTTATAACTATATTCTCAATTTGCTTCTGACACGATAAATATATCTATCTAAATATCTACCTCCTCTCATGTATCTACATCCCTATCATTTTCATCTATCATATAGCTACCCTCCTGTAATCTATCTATCTATCTATCTATCTATCTATCTATCTATCTCATCCCTCCATCAGTGATCTGCGTCCCTCCTGGGTCGCCAAAAAATAAAGACAGGTCAAGGAAACTTAAACATTGAATACTTTTTATTTCAAGGATACAAAATGAAACAGAAAAGAAATAAACAAGTAATAATCCACAAACCAGAATGAAAGGAGGAAGGGGGGTTCTTTTCCCCCCTCAAGAAATTGTCCAGATTACAAAAAATATATAGAGAAAGTCTCATTTCACTCCATTCAACACAACCAAGGCCTGGAGTTACAGATTTAAGAAAGCCAATATTTACAAAAGTCCTGCTTCTCTTGCAATGCTCTGGACCTGCTGGTTTGGAAAGAAGGGATAGAAAAAGCCAGCTCGAACAGAGAGCATCACACCTGTGCCCCCCTTTCCCACAGAGAAATAGAACTACAAACCTTAAAATTAATCCAAATTACTTGTTTCAAGTGAGTATGAGGAGGAGGGAGGGGTAAGCACTTAACCCAAGGGACTTTGCGGCAGAACAGACACAGAAACGATCAGGAACAACAGTGAAAAGAGATACTGAAAGAAAAGACACTGACCTAGGACAGCAAGGACAGTAAATGATATATAGATATATAATGTTTATAACGTGTGTAAGTGGCTTGTACAAGATTACAAATTAAACCCAGCCCACCCCCTCCCCCTGAGAGAGAGAGCTGACTACAAAATAAGTTTGAGATATAGATAGATATAAAATATACGGATATAAATATTACAATGTGTCAGATCGTGGGGGAAAGAAAGTATACATACATATATATGTATAATACAGCTAAAAGGTGGAAAGATGTGCCATTTTTCTTGATCACAATCCCCTCTCCATCTTTCCCACCCCCAAGTGTCCCAATGGCTTCACAACTAACTTTGTTGATTTGGCTCCTCGATTTTCAGCTCCTAAAATGGTGACGCTTCTTGTTGGGTGAAATGGCACGGTCAGATAATGAACCCACCAAACTGACAGGTGTTTCCCTAGGAAGGAAGGAAGGAAGGAAGGAAGGAAGGAAGGAAGGAAGGAAGGAAGGAAGGAAGGAAGGAAGGAAGGAAGGAAGGAAGGAATCCCAAAGGCCACATAACAATGGGGGAAAGGCAGAGGAATGGGAATCCGTCGTGACCGGATCGAATCCCACTGCCCGCAGTGAGAGAGCAGCACTGTAAGGACACTATTATTCTGGAGACAAGGGGATTATAAAGTTCTATGTATGGCTCAGCTATTCTTTTCTGGAGCAGCCCCCCCCCCCCCCCATTTTTTAAATGCTGTGTCGAGTCCGAAGGAAAAGCAATTCACGGGATGTGAAGGGAGAGAGTTCAGTGCCATCCAGAAGGCACAAAAGAGCCCTTGGGGTGCAAATCAAATGCAACAAATGCCAAAGAATTTGGAAAAGGGTCAGTTCCTTAAACCGTTCCTTTCTCCCTTCCAAGCTGAAAGTGTTGGCAGGAAGACGCCCATCCCCGCAACCCAGTTCACCAAAATGCTTTTTAATGGCAGCAAACGGGTTAAGGGATGAGCGAGGAAGCATCATCTGCTGCTAGGCTTGGGATAATGTTGCCTGCAAGGAATGGGAACCTTGAGATTTCACTACCATTTTGCAGGGAGAAAGCAAACGCCTCAGGGGGAGGAAAACAATGCAGACAGAATGGAAGCACCTTAAGACAGAAAAACAACACAGCGGAGGGCCTGCTTCTGAGATGGAATTTACATTCAAATACACCAGGACCCCTTTCCCCTCAATATCCTGTTAATGCTTGACAGCAAGAAGGAAAACCCTGCGACCCCCTAGATATAGGCTGAAGTGTTATGTGTGCCCAGCTCTCCTTGAAATTGGATCAAGACCGCTCCGATTTTAAGGAAGATGTTTTTCAAGATGCCGAGAGAGAAGCCTGTCTCGTAGTGTTTTCAGAGGAAGTTAGATGGGGCAACAATGCTAGCTGAGCAGTTTCAAGTCTCTGACAGGCCTCCCTTAACAAGCAGGAATGAAACACCTCGTATAATTGATAACTTGGGTTCCCAGGCTCTAGTCCTCCCGACATCACCAGCTCCCAGAAGCCTCAGGGATCCAGAGTGCGAATGATTTGAAGGGCTTGGGTTTTGGAAAGCAATGTGCGACTTTGTGCACCTTGATTTCTTTGGGGGGCAAAAGGAGACACGCTAAACACTTTGTCGGTGGGACGGGGGAAAATCCAAAGCAGAAAACACACAAATGATAAGTGCCATGTGTTCCGAAACCAAACAGAGAGACGACAGAATGAGTTTACGCCTTATGGGGGGTCTGAGGTGTCAGTCCAAACCTCGCTTTTGTGCTTTGCTCCACCTATTGCTGGGTCACATGATGTTGAATAGCGGTCCCCAGCAAGGTGGAATTAGTGTCAGGTCTGTCCCATGGAATGTAAAAGAGGGGAATGGGGAAAGGAGGGAAGAAGTGGGTTTTCAGAGCGAGAGATGGGAAGAAGAGGAGAGAGAAAGCGGGTGTCGGGAGGGAGTGGAGCCGTTCATTGGGGCAGTGGGACCAGCACCTCCACGTAGTTGAGCGGGAAGAAGCCCGACTGGCCATTGATCATGCCCTCGTACCAGTTCTCGTCAATCTGATTGGTGAGCGTGATGATATCGCCTTCCTTGAAGCCTAACTCCCCGTCGTTCTCTGGCTCGAAGTCATACAGCGCCTTGCAGCACGGCTGGTCCAGGGGAGCTGTGGAGGAAGCCCAGGAAGTGCGGTCAGGATGCCCAAAAGGCCTTATCTGCGAGTACGCCCGTTTTGGAAAACCCACCCTCTAAGAGGCCTTCCTGGCCCCTCCTTTGGTTTCAAGATAGGGTCGTTTACAGATGCCTTTCTCAAATCCGATGGCCGTCAACAACCACAATACAGTCCTCCCTCCACATTGGTGGTTCTCACATTTTACAAATCTGATTTGAAACGTCCTTCCCAGGGCTTCTTGGTCCTCCAAGGCCAACTGGAAGACCTAGAGCAGTGGTTCCCAAACTTTTATCCGTCTAAGTTAGTGGTTCCCAATATTTTTTTGACCAGGGACCACTCTCCAACATTAGTACCAAAAGGGTTACAAAATAGTTTTTGGTCAACTTTAGATTTAGTTTGGTTATTTAGGGTGCTGATTCCAAAAATTGTATTGGATAGACCACATCAGCTTTCGTTTCTGATGCAGAACATATGCCATCAAGTAGTCGCCATTTGCTTGCCCACAGAAAACCATATTTAATCATCTAGAGCGGATGTGGTCTATCCAATGCAGTTTTCTGATTCAGCACCCCAAATTAACCCCAAGAACAGGCCTACAAACGAAGGCACCAAGAATTTTTTTGGTTGTGCTGTGTTATTTCTGTGGATTTTGTTAACACTCATGCAAAAAATGAGAGGAAGGGGCTGAGGTTGAGAAAAATACAAAAAGCAGAGCGCGAGACCCAAGAAACTATCCCTAAAAGCTTTAATAATAGTAATAATTACTTTGGGGACTAAATAAGGTCTTGAAAAAGGGCTGCTTTCCCATTGCAACTCTTGTGTTTGGCAATGGGAGCTAATAATAATAATAACATTGAGGGAAGTCAATAGTTGAAAACTGCTCAAAGTGCAAAAGACAAAAAGGGAATACTGTAAAAACACAATCCAGAGCAGAAGAGAAAACTGGCAAAAGAAGGCTCTCCATGGACAGTTCCTGGGAAAAATTGAGAGCCAAATTGACAAAGAAAAAACATGGCTGTGGCTCACAAATGGAACTCTGAAAAAGGAGACGGAGGGCCTGATTCTGGCAGCCCAAAAACAAGCCATTAGAACCAATGCCATCAAAGCCAAAATTGAAAAGTCAACAACAGATTCCAAATGTAGACTCTGCAAGGAAGCAGATGAAACAATAGATCACATCCTGAGCTGCTGCAAGAAGATCACGCAGACAGACTACAAGCAGAGGCACAACACCGTTGCTCAGATGATTCATTGGAACTTGTGCCTCAAATACCATCTACCTGTGAGAAAGAACTGGTGGGATCACAAGCCGGAAAAAGTTACAGAGAATGAACATGCCAAATTCCTCTGGGACTTCCAAATTCAGACAGTCAGAGTTTTGGAGCATAATACTCATGGACCTCACAATTGCGTTGAAAACAAAGTATAGATCGTTGATGTCGCAATCCCAGGTGACAGCAGGATTGCAGAGAAACAACTGGAAAAGCTGACACGATATGAGGATTTAAAAATCGAACTGCAAAGACTCTGGCACAAACCAGTAAAGGTGGTCCCAGTGGTGATTGGCACACTGGGTGCAGTGCCAAAAGACCTTGGCCTGCAATTAAACACAATCGGTGCTGACAAAATTACCATCTGCCAGCTGCAGAAGGCCACCTTACTGGGATCTGCACGCATTATTCGCCGATACATCACACAGTCCTAGACACTTGGGAAGTGTCTGATGTGTGATCCAATTCAACAATCAGCAGAGTGCCTGATGTGGACTCATCTTGTTGTGTTTCAAACAACAACAACAACAACAATAACAACAACAACTTTGGGGGACTATTACAAAGGGATGCTTTACCATTACAATTCATGTGTAGCGATGGGAGCTAATAATAATAATAACCACTTTGTGGGACTCTCCTTTGCTCTCTCGCTCTTCTCCAACAGCGAAAAGCAAAGCCGGCCACGGACCTTATTTTAGGTCTCGTGGCCCACGGATTGGGAACCACTGGTCTAAGTGTTTTGGACTCCCCAAAAGTCTCCGCTGCTTTGACCTACAATCAGGGATTCTGGGAACAGAAGTCCAAAACACCAAGAAGGAAGAGATCTAGACGTTTCTAGAGAGGACATCATTTCTTTAGTAGTGTTTTTACACTTTCAGAGGGATCCTTTGACCCGAATACCATTGAATACGGAAGGCTGACTGTATGTTATCATTGTCATCATCAGGGGACAAAAGGAGACATTGCCTTCCCCTATTCTCCACTTGGTATGGAATGAGTTTACAAAAAGTCCTGGGAGAATGTTGTTCCACATGCAAAATATTATTATTATGTGCCATACAAGATCAAATGATGGGCTCATTTCAAGAAGAAAGAACAGGTTAATATCGAGACAAGAACATTGATGCTTTTCACAACAGTTAGGTTCAGGCAAAAGGAAGGGAGCTGGTGAAGGAAAGCGGAGCTAAAGGTGAAGCAGAGACAAAGCAAGCAAGGACACTCACAAAACGTCCGGCTGGGGGTCCGGGATGGCTTTTCGGATCGGAAAGAGGAAGAAGCTGCTTGCAAAACAACAAAAAGGAAAAAAAATAGAAAAAAAGCATGCTTTTTACATGAACACAATATCAACTGCTTTCTGGACAAGACAACTGTTAGCGAGGAGGTACACAGGAGAAGCGGGAATCTCTTTTTTTAAAAACATGGAAAAGGGACATGCCATGAAAAAAGGGAGATTAGGGATTTTGTGCTTCTTTCACTCCTTTCCCCCCTCCTCAACATTTGTCTCCTGCTCCAGCGATCAAAACATGAATTGCTGGATTCAAATGACAAGAACAAAGATCCGACTGAAATATTAGGGAAGCGCTGCTGTTTGGCTGCTTTATTTTGGAAGTATTTACACCTCTTGTGTACTCTTGTCAAGCAGGAAGGCTGGACTAGATGCCTCTCGGGAGTCCCTTCTAATTCTTTCTTACGATTAAGCCAAACACAGCAGACCACTCCAAAATAACTGACAACAACAACAATTAATTTAGTACCCACCTCTCCTTAAGGCAGTGTTTCTCAACCTGGGGGCCTGGACCCCGGCGGGGGTTGCAAGTGGAGGGGGTTTCAGGAGTTGTCAAAGACCATCAGAAAACACATATTTCTGATCATAGAATCATAGAGTTGGATGTGACCTCATGGGCCATCCAGTCCAACCCCCTGTGTAGAAGCAGGAATATTGCATTCAAAGCACCCCTGACAGATGGCCATCCAGCCTCTGTTTAAAAGCTTCCAAAGAAGGAGCCTCCACCACACTCTGGAGCAGAGAGTTCCACAGCTGAACGGCTCTCACAGTCAGGAAGTTCTTCCTCATGTTCAGAAGGAATCTCCTTTCTTGTAGTTTGAAGCCATTGTTCCGTGTCCTAGTCTCCAGGGAAGCAGAAAACAAGCTTGCTCCCTCCTCCCTGTGACTTCCTCTCACGTATTTATACATGGCTATCATATCTCCTCTCAGCCTTCTCTTCTTCAGGCTAAACTTGGGTCTTAGGAACCCCTTTCGCAGCAACTGCAACTCCCAAATGACAAAATCAATCACCCAAATCCCAATATTCAAAATTGAATGTATCAGGTATTTGTGCCAAATTTGGTCCAGATTCATGGTCTCTTGGGTTCACAGTGCTCTCCTGAGGTAGGTGAACTACATCTCCCCTAAATTACTGTCAGTTCCTCCCAAATTGGTCACGGGGGTTTCTGTTTGGGAAGTTTGGCCCAAGTCTATCATTGGAGGGGTTCAGGGGGCTCTTTGATTGTGAGTGAACTATAAATCCCAGCAACTACAACTCCCAAATGACAAACTCAATTCCCCGCAACCCCCACCAGTATTCAAATTTGGGCGTATCGGGTATTTGTGCCTAATCTGGTCCAGTGAATGAAAATACATCCTGCATATCAGATATTTCATTATGATTCATAACAGGAACAAAATTACTGTTATGAAGTAGCAATGAAAATAATGTTTTGGTTGGGGGTCACCACCACATGAGGAACTGTATTAAGGGGTAGTGGCATTAGGAAGGTTGAGAAACACTGCCTTAAGGCCTCTCCCTGAGGCCCTAAAAGCCTCCAAAGGAGGCTGAAATCCTTGGTAAATGTTGAAGGCAACCATCAGTTAGGCTGGCAGCCCACTCTCTCCCTCTGCCTCTTTTTTGAGAGCCATGCGCCCCTCTTCCCCACCGCCAGGTGAAGTGTCTTCACCTGAGATGCCTTACCTGAGACTTTGGGGGCCGGGTTGCAGGAGAAGCCACCATTCGATTGGTCACTCTCCCCAAATTCGTAGGTTTCCCTGGGCTTTGGCTTGTATTCACGCTTGGGGCGTGAGGACGCTTCCCGCACCCTGGGCGAGAGAGAGAGGAAAAAGCGGTCATTGGCAGGAAACAACATGTCATCTACACTTGGTTACGGTCAGCCGAGTTCAGAAGGGAAACCAGTGATGGGCTTGGGAGATCCTCTGGCCAGTTTAAGGTTGGCCTTCCTGCTCCTCAGAGCTTTGTGTACCATTTGGGAGGATGAAACAGTGCTAATCCCCATATTAACTCGAGTCTAACACGCCATCGAATTCTTTGGATGTCTCCCCTTCTCCATCCAACTCAGGGACGGGTTTAGCACAGTGGGTTAAACCGCTAACCATTAAACCGTTAAACCCACCAGCTCAATAGATATCTTGAGCAATGACCAATCTACTTGCCCCCAAGGAACTGAGGAAATTGATGTTTTTGTTCAATGTTTGATGTTTTGTCTTATATAGCAGGTTGTATTTTTTATTTAATTTTAGTTGATAAGTTATAATTTGTTTTTATATGTTGGGTTGCCAAATTTCGTTACTATGGGTGCATTGTTGTTGTGTTCGGGCATTGAATGTTTGCCTTTTATGTTTGGAATCCACTCTGAGTCCCTCCGAGGAAATAGGGCAGAATTTAGATAAAGTATTATTATTTTACTGACACAAAAACACAGTATGACACAGCAAACGAGATATATATGCTGGATTTCGTATCACAAATTCACAAGTTGAACACTTCCCAAGTGTGCCGATTACCAATGGGATCACCTGTACTGGTTTATGCCAGAGCCTTTGCAGTTCGATTTTGAGGTCTTGATAATGGCTGCGTTTTTCCTGTTGTTTTTTGTGAATTCGACTGTTACCTGGTATGGCAACATCAATAATCCAAACTTTTTTCTTTTCCACAATCATGATGTCTGGTGTATTGTGTTCCAAAGCTTTGTCAGTCTGGATCTGAAAGTCCCACAGTATTTTTGCGTGTTCATTTTCCACTACTTTTGCAGGTTTATGATTCTACCAGTTCTTTACTACAGGCAGGTGGTACTTGTGATGTAAGTTCCAATGAATCACTTGGGCAACAGTGTTGTGCCTCCGTTTGTAGTTTATCTGTGCTATTTTCTTCCAGCAGCTGAGGATATGATCAACAGTTTCATCAGCTTCCTTGCACAGTCTGCATTTTGGGTTTATCAGCTTATTTTTCGATCCTGGCCTTAAATGCATTTGTTCTGATGGCTTGCTCCTGGGCTGCAAGAATCCGGCCTTCTGTCTCCTTCTTCAGGGTTCCATTCGTGAGCCATAACCAGGTCTTCTCCTTATCAATTTTTCTTTCAATTCTGTCAAGGAACTGCCGATGCTTCAGTTTATGCTTTGTTGTGCCAGCGGTCGGCTCTGATTATTATTATTATTATTATTTGAAACACAAAAACATTAGTACACAGCAAACAAGGTAACTGTAGCTGTTGTATTGGATCACACATCGGACACTTTCCAAGTGTCTAGAACTCCGTGATGTATCGGCGAATAATGTGTGCAGATCCCAGTAGGGTGGCCTTTTGTAGCTGATTTTGTCAGATCCAATTGTGTTTAATTGCAGGCCAAAGTCTTTAGGCACTGCACCCAGTGTGCTGATCACCACTGGGACCACCTTTACTGGTTTGTGCCAGAGTCTTTGCAGTTTTATCTTTAAATCCTCATATCGTGTCAGCTTTTCCAGTTGTTTCTCTGCAATCCTGCTGTCACCTAGGATTGTGACATCGATGATCCATACTTTGTTTTTTAACACGGTCGTGAGGTCAGGAGTATTGTGCTCCAAAACTCTTGTCAGTCTGAATTCGGAAGTCCCAGAGTAGTTTGAAGTGTTCATTTTCTGTAACTTTTCCAGGCTTGTGATCCCACCAGTTCTTTGTCTCAGGCAAATGGTATTTGTGGCACAAGTTCCAATGAATCATCTGAGCAACGGTGTTATGCCTCTGCTTGTAGTCTGTCTGCGCAATCTTCTTGCAGCAGCTGAGGATGTGATCCATCGTTTCATCTGCTTCCTTGCAGAGTCTACACTTAGGATCTGTCGTCAACTTTTCAATTCTGGCTTTGATGGCACTGGTTCTAATGGCTTATTCTTGTCAATTTTGCTCACAATTTTTCCCAGGAACTGTCCAGGGAGAGCCGCCTATTGCCAGTTTTCTCTTCTGTTCTGGATTGTGTTTTTACGGTATTCCCTCTGGGAAAGAGAAAAGCACTGCATGCCTTTCCATCTGACAGAACTAATCAAGGGACTTCATCACATTGAAGCTGGGAAGTGTCTGGTAGAGTAGAGCTCAGTCTGACTCAGTTCTGAAATGAAATGGATGACTTCCCTACCTTCATCACACTGTTAAATGTATCTGTGTTACTCAGTTGTACTCAGCATTCTTTCAGTTGCTTTGCCATCACACGTAAAATGGGAGAGGGATGGTGGGCGGTGCCTAGCAATTACAGTGTGTTGCTTTGCCATCACACTGTAATTGCTAGGCACCGCCCACCATCCCTCTCCCATGTTACGTGTCTTTAATTCTGGAAGCAAGGTAGCAGGGAGGGAGGGAGGGAAAGCGGCAATGCACTCTCCCTCCTCTCTCTTGGCAGCCCCACGGATAAGGGTGTGGACCTTGGAAAACTGTAACTCTCAGGACTGCAGGAGTATTGCTGCTGTTGCTTTGTTTCCCCCAGAAAATAGAAGATATTCCTGGCATGGCCCAAAGGATGCCAAATGGGAATGGCATGTGTATAACCCACCCCTAAGGGCAGAGGGTAGCTCTGGGGAAGCACTCACCTGCGCTTGAGTTTGTCCGCAAGCTCATCAAGGATCTGTACGGCTTGCCGGTGGTAATCGAGCTGCGCGTCCACCAAAGCCGACAGCTGGCTGACCTGCTCAATCTAGAACAACAACAACAAAAAACCCATGAGAAATGGCTTTGAAAAGCTGTCCTGTCCAATGACCCATGGATCTTGGGCCTGTGCATTCATTTTTGTCCATGAATATCACTTTGCGGGGCCCAGCTCGCCCTCCTTTGAATGCCACACTCCTGGGAAAATGTCCTGCGGAAGAACAGGACGTCCAAACTAATAGAGGAAATTCACAGAGAAACAGGGCAACAGCACAATTATGGAATCCTAGAGTTGGGAGAGAACCCCAAGGGCCATCCAGTCCAACCCCTTTGGCCAAGCAGGAAAACGCAATCAAAATCCTCCTGACAGATTTCCATCAAGCCTTGTGTCTGTCTCTCAGAGGTTGTGCCTACATTAGCAGCTCCATGGAGAAAGACAGCTATGAATTCATAGAGTTGGGAGAGAATCCCAAGCACCATTCAGTCCAACCCATTTGGCCAAGCAGGAAGACACAATCAAAACCCTCCTGACAGATGGCCATCAAGCCTTGCATCTGTCTCTTGGAGGTTGTGCCTACATTAGCAGCTTCATGGAGAAAACAGCTATAAAGTCCTAGAGTTGGGAGAGAACCCCCAGGGCCATCCAGTCCAACCCTTTTAACAAGCAGGAAGACACAATTAAAGCCCTCCTTGTCAGACGATCATGCAGCCTCATGTCTGTCTCTCAGAGGTTCATGGAGAAAGACAGCTATAGAGTTGGCAGAGAACCCCAAGGGCCATCCAGTCCAACCCCTTTCTGCCATAAGGGAAAAACACAATCAAAACCCTCCCAACAGCTGGCCATCCAGATTTTGTTTAAAAGCCTCCAAAGGAGGACTGTTGAACAGCTCTCCTTATGGTCAGGAAGTTCTTCCTCATCTTCAGCTGGAATCTCCTTCCCTGTCATTCGAACCCATGACTCCATTCAGTCCTAGCCTCCAGGAAGCCTGCTCCCACTTCCTTGTTCCATCCAAAAGGTATTCATTTAGTGATTCATTGCCACACGGCCAAACTCACGTCTGTCTCTAGGAGGTTGTGCATACTTGTCTCTGCCACTTCTTTGGACTCTTCGAACTTCTCCAGGGCTTGCCGGAGCTCTTCGTCTGGGATCTTCCCCTGCCGCTTCTTTTTGTAGTCAAAATCTAAGCGCCTGCCTTCCAGCTTCTTTAGGTGGTGCTGTTTGAAGAGGTTGGTGAGCAGAAAACATTCATCAATACCCAGCTTGTCAATATCAAATGATTTTAGAGCTGGAAGGGATGCCCCAGAACCAGCCAAATAATAATAATAATAATAATAATAATAATAATAATAACAACAACTTTATTTATACCCCGCCACCATCTCCCCAAGGGGACTCAGGGCGGCTTACATGAGGCCAAGCCCAACAGTAAACATCAGTAAACATTAAAGCAATAAGCAATTAAACAATATAATTAATATAACTCACAAATAGACAATAACACGCAAAATTTTAAAATTCAGCCACATTATCACAAGTGGGAAAAGCAAAATCAAAACCCTCCTGACAGATGGCCAACCAGTTTCACAGACATAATATATAATGTATAATAATAATAATAATAATAATAATAATAATAATTTATTTCTAACCTGCACCTCCCTCCCCAAAGGTACTCAGGGCGGCTTCATTAACAGTTTCATGGAGAAATAGAGCTATAGAATCATAAGATGCCAGGCAAGGTCACCCAATCCAATCCCATTCTGTCATGAAGGAAAACACAATCAAAGCCCTACCGACAGATGGACATCCAGCCTCAAAGAAATTAGAATTTTTGTGGAGAAATAGGGATCATGGGATTCTAGAGTTGGAAGGGACCCCAAGGCCCTCGATTCCAAGATCCTTCTGCCAGGCAGGAAGGCACCATCCAATCCCTCCCTACAGATGGACCTATTATTAACCTATTATTATTATTATTATTATTATTATTATTATCATTGCTACTATTGTTATTATAACCACAGAGTCCAAGTTGGAAGAGCTCCCAATGGTCACCCAGTCCAGCCCACTTCTGCCAGGCAGCAGGACACAATCAAAGCCCTCCTGCCAGATAGCCATTCAGCCTCAAAGACATTAGCAGGTTTGTGAAGAAATAGGGATATAGGATCATGGAATTCTAGAGTTGGAAGGGATCCCAAGTGCTGCCAACTCCAACCCCTTTCTGCCAGACAGAAAGCACCATCCGATCTCTCCCTATAGATGGACATCTTGCCTATTGTTGTTGTTGTTGTTGTTGTTGTTGTTGTTATTATTATTATTATTATTAGACACACAACAAGATTAGTACACAGCAAACAAGATCACTATGCTGGCTTTTGTATCTAATCACACGTCAGACACTTCCCAAGTTGTTGTTATTATTATTGTTGTTATTAGAACCATAGAGCCCTAGAGTTGGATAATCCAAGGGCCATCTAGTCAAACCCACTTCTGCCAGGCAGGAAGACACAATCAAAGCCCTCTTGACAGATGGCCACCCAACTTCAGCTTAAAAAACGTCCAGAGAAGTAGATTCCAAGGCTGATATCCTCCTTCCCCAAAGGTCGCAACAGGATGGACCGTACCTGGATCTCCTTCAAGTCCTTGTCGCACAGGTTTTGCAAGGGGTCAATGAAGTTCTGCTTGACCTCGATGTCAAGGGAGTCCTTCACTTCGGCCAAGCGCTTCATGGATTCACCCGCGTCCAGCAGTGCATCTCCGAAGTTGGACTCGTCGCCCAGCTCTTTGCCGTACCGGATCATGGACTCGCCGAGGAGGCCTTCAGACTGTGGGTAGCCCGGGTTCTTCACCTGCCCCCGGATCTTGGAGACAGTGTTCAACATCGTCAGCTTGGCGCGAGAGGCTGAGAAAAACCAAAAGAGAGGAAACATATAGATTTCTAGTGATAATAAGGCCCAAATGAAGTTTTCCCCCTCCAAAGGCCAGAATACAGTCCGTACCGGGATTGGGTTGGAGGTATTCTGTCGTCCGCGCCAAAACTTCGACCACAGCTTTGCTGGTGAGGTCCACTTTCTGTAGGAAGAGAAATAAAGCCTCAAAGAAATATAAGGAATGGAAACTCCCTAGACTCTGACTAAAGTAACAGTTAGGTCTACAGCGACCCAACCTGTGGGCATTCCAGCTTTACCAACTAAGTTATCAGCTAGGCTTTTCACCCTTCCATCTACTTTCCCTATTATTATTTATACACATAATGAAAGCGAAAATATGTATGTATGTGTGTGGCTGGGGTGTCCACTTACCCAGGCAAGCTCCTACCTCCACAAATAGCTCTAGCTCTCACTACTCCGGAGATAACCAAAGGCAATGACATTGCAGGTTATAGTGAGCACCATGAACATGTGTAAAAGCCCTGCCAATGTCCACCACAAACACCACACTGTCCACCATATTATACACTGTTGATTTGTGTTTTTTTGCTTTGGAAAGTATTTTGTCTAAGATAGCAGACATTAATCTTCCACAAAACATGACCCCGGCCACTGCCTCTCCCTTGACCCTTTCCTATTCTTTTCTATGGCACACAGCAAATAGTGCAATTAATCAGCTATTGAACATACTAGAGCGGTTTGGGGAGAATTCACCACGATTTATAGGAGTTGTAGGTACTGGGATGTATAGTTCACCCGCAAACTAAGAGCACTCTGAACTCCACCAACGATGCACCAGGAACTAACTTGGCACACAGAACCCCCATGACCAACAAAACATACTGGAGGTCTTTGGAGGGATTTATAGTAATTATAGTTCACCTACATCCAGAGCGCACTATGAACCCAAACATTGATTAATATGGACCAAACTTGGCATGCATACCTGATATGCCCAAATTTGAATACTGGTGGGTTTTGAGGGGAATTGGCCTGGACATTTTGGAGTTGTAGGTACTGGGATTTATAGTTCACCTGCAATCAATGAGTACTCTGAACTCTACCAAAGATGGAATTGGACCAAATTTGGCACACAGCGCCCCCATGGTGAGAAAAAAATATTGGAGTTCTTTGGGGAAAATTCACCTTGATTCAGGGGATTTGTAGTTCACCTGCATCTAGAGAGCGCTGTGAACACAAACACTGATGGATCTGGATCAAACTTGGCACCCATATCTGATATGCCAAAATCTGATTACTGGAGGGGTTTGGGGCGAACTGACCTTCCTTTCTGGAAATTGTAGTTGACCCACAGCCAGATAAACTGTAACCTCCACCAATTATGGGTTTGGATCAAACTTGGCACACAGAACGCCCATGAATAACTCAACCTACTGGAGGGGTGTGTGGGGACTGACCCACTATAGTGGGAGTTATAGTTTGCTCTACAACCAGAGAACACACAGAATCCCTCAATGCTGCATCTAGAGCAAACTTGCCCAATATAACTAACTGATGCAGTTTTTGAGAATTAATCTGGCATGGTGAGTTGCAGTTCACACACAACCATATGCATTTTGTAGAGTTATGTGCAAAATTTGACTTTTTAAAAATTACCCCGGGCAACGCCAAGTACCCAAGTTAGTAATACAATAAAACATCTATTCCAGTAATAACAACCAGGATGGTGCTGATTTACTCCCGACCAACAAGGAAGTTTCACAGAGACCACCCAGATAAGGAAATCTCATTGACAGCCCCCCAAAAGAAGTTTGCCCAAACTTTGCTCCCCTTTTCCATCTCCTTGAAGTCATCGTCTAACTTGGTCCCTTCGGCTCCTCCAACCTTTTCGCTGACCAGCTGTAAAAAGGAAAAAGAAGAAAAGGAAGTCAGTAAGAAAGCTCAATATGTCTTTCGTTTCTGAGTGTGCAAGTCTGTCCAATGTACATGGCTTTCATGTTGTTGTTGTTGTTGTTGTTGTTGTTGCTGTTGTTGCTGTTGTATGCCTTCAAATCATCATTCCTGGCTTAAGGAGTTCCTAAAACAAACCTATAATGTGGTTTTCTTGGCAGGGTTTGTTCAGTGAGTGTTTGCATTGCTTTCTTTAAAGTGTATCTTGGCTGAGCGAGGATTCTAACCCTGGTGTCCTGAGTCCTAGTTTAAGACCCAAACCTAGCTTTGTGTATTCAATTACAATAGGCCCTCAGTATCCATCTGGGATCAAGGAATAATAATAATAAAAACTTTTTTTATATCCCGAAACCATCTCCCATAGGGACTCGGAGCAGCTTACAAAATAGCATACAATGGTGCCATAGGTAACGGTTACCCCTGATACTAAGTCCAGTCATGTCCGACTCTAGGGGGTGGTGCTCATTTCAATTTCTAAGCGGAAGCTCCGGCGTTGTGCGTAGACACCTCCAAGGTCAAGTGGCCGGCATGACTGCATGGAGCATCGTTATCTTTCCGCACAAGCTGTACCTATTCATCTACTCACATCTGCATGCTTTCAAACTGCTAGGTTGGCAGAAGCTGGGCCTAATGGTTTAACTCGCTGTTCCACCAGGGGGCCCAATGATAGTGCCATACAACACATAAAACGCAATACATCAACACATAAAATCAATAACACATTTACATAAAACCAGACATATAAAATTAAGAGAAGCAACCTAGATTAAATAACATCGGTAAAATGTGGCTATGCCCATTGATTTAAAAAGATCCATACAATTGATTTAGCATTCCAACTGTATACCAATCAGAATATAAAGTGCTAAACTAATTGGCACTCAGTCTAGCTACTTTCTAAAGCAGTGGTTTTCAACCTGTGGGTCCCCGAGTATTTCGGCCTACAACTCTCAGAAATCCCAGCCAGTTTACCAGCTGTTAGGCTTTCTGGGAGTTGCAGGCCAAAACAACTGGGGACCCTGGTCTAAAGGTTATCAAAGGCCTGCTGAAAAAAACCCCAAGTTTTCAACTTTTTCCAAAAGTGCTGGAGGCTTGCCTAATTTCCCTGGGGAGGGTGTTCCAGAGCTGGGGGGCCACCATCGAGAACACCCTTTCCCTTGTCCCCACCAACCGTCCTTGAGACGAAGGCAGGACTGAGAGGAGGGCCTACCCAGCAGATCTTAGAGCCCGTGCTGGTTCATAGGGGAAGATGCAGTCACAAAGATAGGCAGGACCCAAATCATGGAGGGCTTTGTAGGTCATAATCTGCACTTTGAATTGGGACCATAAACATATCGGCTGCCTATAGCTGGCTCCTGTTAGCAATCTGGCTGCCGATCTTTGCACTAACTGCAGTTTCCAGGCCGTCTTCAAGGCAGACCCACTTAGAGTGCACTGCAGTAATCCATACGAGATGTAACTAAGATGTCGACCACAGTGGCCAAGTCAGGCTTTTCGAGGTATGGTTGCAGCTAGCGCACCAGTTTTAACTGTGCAAAGGCCCTTTTGGTCACTGCTGACACCTGAGCTTCAAGCATCAGCGCTGAATCCCACACTGCGGATGTGTGTCCTCAGGGGGAGTGTAACCTGGTCGAGCACAGGTTGCCACCCTAGACCCCGCTCGGCCTCACAACTGACCAGGAGGACTCTGTCTTGTCAACTTATTAGACCTCATCCAGTCCATCACAGCTGCCAGGCACTAGTCCAGGACCCTGGCAGCTTCCTTGGAATTGGGTGGAAAATAGTATTGTATGTCACCTGCGTAGAGATGGCACCTAACTCCAAAACTCACCCAGCAGTCTCATGTAGATATTGAAAAGCATGGGGGTTGGACCCTACAGATCAATGCCCAGGGGTTCAAACAAGTATCCCCCAGCATCACCATCTGGGAATGGTCCTCCAGGAAGGAGCAGAGCCACTGCAGAGCTGTGCCCCCAAGACCTATTCCGGAGAGCCGATCCAGAAGGATACCATAATCTATGGTACTGAAAGCTGCTGAGAGATAGAAGAGAACTAGCAGGGACACACTCCCCCTGTTTAGCTCTCTGTGGAGGTCATCCACCAAGGCAACCAAAGCTGTCTCTGTTCCGTGACCAGGCCTAAAAACCAGACTGCAAGGGATCCACATAATCGGCATCATGCAAGAATCCCTGGAGCTGAAAAGCCACCACTTGCTCCAGAACTTGTCCAGAAAAGGGAAATTAGAAATGAGGAGTCAAGGGATAATTTCTTCAAAACTGGTCTTACAATGGCTTTTTAAAGTTTGGTGGTATGTGCCCCTGCTCGAACAAGGAAGCCCCATGGATACCGAATTCTTGGATGCTCAAGTCCCATCGGATACAACGGCATAGTAAAACAGCCTTCGTTATATATATGAGGGGCGTTCGTTAAAGATTTCCCCTGATCCACTTACTGTGGACCAAGAGCAATGAAACTTGGCACAATTATCAGTCCTTCTCTCCATAAGTGTCACTTAGGAACATACACTTCTCCCATCCTTTTAAGCCACTGCAAACACCTCACTTGTAGAAGTCGACAGGTTGCTCCAAAAGCCACATTGCGACTTCGTAAATCAGAGTCTCGTCATCTGAAAAATGCTTGCCCTTCAAAAATAACTTCCTTGTTGGAAAGAGGTGGTAGTCTGATGGTACGAGGTGAGGTGAACCAGGGGGATGTGGTTGAATTTCAAAACCACAGGAGCATGCTCCCATTTGGGCAACAGGTGAGTTGCGAACTGGTGCACTGTCTTGCAGAAGATGGACACCTATGGTAAGCATGACACATTGTCTCTTGGTTTTGATGACCTCCCACAATTCCCACAGCAGTGAAGCATAGTATGCCCCAGTGATCCTGGTCCCCTTTGCTATGAAATCCATCAGTACTACTCAGTGCTGGTCCCAAAATACTGTTGAGAGTTGGGCACGTGCTTTCTTTGGAGGCAATGAGTCACAATGCTTTCATTGCACAGACTGGACTTTAGTCTCAGGATCAGAGTGATGGAGCCAGCATTCCTCCTGTGTGATCAGTCTGTTGAAAAAGTCTTCCTGATTTCTATGGCACATAATTGTCAAAAGAGCCTGAGAGCATTCAACTCATTCCTGCTCCTGGAAAGGTATGAGCAGCCGGGGGACCCAGCGAGGAGATATCTTATGCATGTGAAAATGGTCTTGGGTGATTTTTGTCACAGACCCCACACTAATCTTGACATTTTGGGGTAGGTGGCAAATGGTTACACTGTGATTTTCCAAAATGGCGATCTCCACTTGCTGGGTGGTGTGTTCATCAATAGCAGAGTGGGGTCACCCTGGAATTGGAGCTGTTTCCACTGAAGTCCAACCACACTGGAATGGACGATGCCAGTTCTTGACTCCATCATATGATGGAGAATCATCACCATAAACCTCTTTCATCTCATCAAACGTCTCCTTTGGTGTGTGGCCTTTCAAGTCAAGGAACTTGAGGACTGCTCTGTATTTCACTAGGTCCATGATCAAACCTCACACCACTTCAGTACCTGTACAATCAAGACCATTATCCATTCTGGATTGTAAATTGGCACGTAACCTATAGAGACATGTGTATATCATTACACATGTGCAGTTTCAGCATCCTGTGATACATAGAAGTGGGTCAGGGGAAGTCTTTAATACCCTTCGTAAAATGGCGAAACCATCAGGAATTGTTTTTCAAACTTTCCCCCCTCTAAATGGTGGAATCTGTGGATATGGAGAACTGGCTGTATGTTTGTTGGGATGCATTCAAGTTGCCATTCCTTTCTTCCCTGCAGGCTTCTTTGCTGCAATGTGATCCGGCCCATGCTGAGCAATAAGGAGGGATTTCTTCTGACTTCGGACGGAAAGAACTTGAGGTTTTAAAATATTCCGGTGCAGAAAGGAGCAAAACACATGTGAGGTTTTGCTGATTTGCACAGGGCGTGTTCAGGCAAACTGGGACACAACCTATGCTAAAAAAACAAAAAAACAAAAACACCCCACAAAAATTAAAAGTTATCTCATCGCTTCTGGCTGGAAAGCTGACTCTGGGTTCGTTTGGCTCGAATGAAACCCGGGAATGGATTACAGAGAGATTGGAAGGAGACAGAAGTGAGTCAGATGAAGCCTCTCCCTCTCTCTCTCTGGAGGAAACTTGGTATTCAGACTCAGTTGGGGGTTGCAGACCCTGAAGTTGTGTGATCAATAACAAAAGGAACCCTCGCCAATACAGATTTGTATATAGAAAAGTGAAAATATGTATATATGTATATATTTTCTGAGATAAATCCAATTCCACAAATACCTGTGACTCCCACATTCTATTTTTATATTTTAGCATGCATATTTTTCATCCCAAAATTTAAAAAAATGAAAAAAAATGTAATGTACTGCAATATCCAGCATTCCTTACTAAGGGCTTCAGGGACCTGAAAGGCATTGGAAGACCTGGAGATTCCTAGAAATCTGTAGGTACTCAAGACCAGAGGAAGTAGGCCTTAGAGTCACACTGGAGAACTTAGACATTCCTAGGGAGAATATTCTGAATTAAATCCATATAGAATCAAATCCACAAAAGTCAATGTGGCTGGATGACTAAACTGTATTTTAAACAAACAATGTTGTATTCCTGCCTCAAGTGTTGGATGAGGGAGAAATAAAATATACTGCCATTTGTGATGATGATGATAATAATAATAATAATAATAATAATAATAATAATAATAATAATAATAATAATTCAAGACATCACAGCCACTGCAGAGAGTAATACAATACCCATCTGTCAACCGACACAGTGCTGCCAAAGTCCTAATGCAAGCCCACACACGCCCTGATAATGAAAGGGCATTGCGCCAGCATTGCGCCAGCATTGCGCCAGCAGCTAAATAAATGAATCATTCTCCAACTTGGGAATCG